AAGTGAATGAAGTTATTTTTTTTGTAAACCCTGCTTTAATGACGAATGCATATATGACTAGGATGCAGTTTTTCTACCTACTTTACTGTCAGTTTTTATTATCTCATAATTTCGTAAGTTCACACAAACTACTGAAATACGAGCTAAGTAGTAGAAAGTCTTATCACTTTACTTTCTATCATCGTAGGCAATAGTGGTATACATAAAATATCACACAGTAGAAGATATCCATTATTCAGACAAATGATGATATACATTAAAAACAAATTAGTTATTGTTAAAAGAACTTGAAACTTGGGCGGAAGCGACAGATCTCTACAAAAGTAACTCTGAAAGGGAAGACCAATAAGAGAACTTGGATTATACTTGGTCATTTTATATAAGTTGGATACAAATTTAAGGAAATTTCTTTATACCATAGCGATATCAGTAACTGTTGACCATAATGACCAGTAATCATAATAAAAATCTATACATTTATTTGTTTGTGGATATTCACGGTTTAAGAACGTCAAGTTCAGAACAGCGTTGATAAAGACTGATATTCAGTGAAATCTGAAACCAGAATAAACTACGCTACTTCAAGGACACGAAGAGGTTATAAATGTATGCTGATTTATTACGCAAATGTCACTAAACTACTTCAAGTGCTTAAAATTTGTTCAATAAAATCCTGATGGTAGCACGCATGACAATCACGTGTTTTAGTTTATACATCAGAGTAGTTTTGTCGTGAAGGAGAACACAGGTGAGGGCAACCGAATTGTATTTAACGAAAACTACAGAGTTGCTCAGTAAAATAGGAAAACCATATCGTAACCGTTAATTTGCAAATCTCCAATCCATTGTCTGACATTTCACTATTCATGCGTTTCATACAAATTCCATTGTGTTCCCACTTTTCCTTTCTTGATCTTCCCCCATCTTCTGCTGCCAGACATTACGTTTACACTCGCGTCATATACTACTTATAAGTAGCGCGCACGACAGTAACATAAGTATATGTAGAGCAAAATAAGAACTGATTAAAATTAACTTTCTCGCTGGAACGTTTTCAACGTCAGTGTTCCTCAATTGTATAAATGTCATTCAATAAAATCACGATTTCCTTAGATCGTTTACCACATTTCAAAATACTGAGAGCTGTTTTTGATCTATGCATAAACTTTCTCTTTTAGTAGAGGACATTTGTTTCAGTTATTACACAAAAACACTCATGTGTAAACAACTGTGGAAAGCCACGTTCCTATAAACGCGGTATTTTGAAGTCACAAGTACTTGGTGCGTTTTTCGCCACATGCTTTAGACTACTTAATAGTAGTATAATTACCAAATTAAAACCAGGGGTACGAAACTGACACATGTATATTAATAATTTTATCATACAGCAATTGATATTTTCCAGTACAATCATAAGCGATTTTAGATATAATACATTATTTTATACAATTCTTCGTTCTTACAGTTCGGTTTATATTGCTATCAACAAATCAGCAGTTAAATTCTCGAATTTTACTTTTCTTCTTTCTACTAAATCTAAAATGCAATGAATTTAACCTATAATTTGCTTCCGCTTTACATCCCGAACCGTTATTGAAGGTCAACAACTGGATGTAATTGTTGAACACCTTATCTTTTCAACTTTGTGGAATATCAGGAATTAATAGCTTCTACAAACATAATTTTATTATCTCAGTCAGTCAGAAACAAAGTAGGACTCGGTACGTACGTACGCCAGTCAGTTCAAGTTGTGAAACCATATTAGCACAGAGATCAGATTGTCGATGCAAACCCCATAGAAGTAGAAGTAATCAGAGATTAGGGATCGAAGATACGATTAGAGAAGTAAAACCCAGTGAAAGAAATTTAAAAAGAGACAAAACAGTCATGAGGAATTCAGACTAGAATTTGAGGAAGACAAAGAATGGATGCATCTGCACCAATGCGAACCATTTTGAGCCATTCCATTCAAAGTCGCTAACCATCAGTGACTATCACCTTGCGGACCGAAAACAGGTAGTCTACACCTACTAACATGGCTCATTCCAGTTGTCAGTGACTTCATGAATTTGTGCCGTGTTTTGGTTTGGCTGCCTTTAACGTTCTTCCAGCCTAGCCCTACGTCACAAAATATTACTCGTCGAGGCAGTCGGTAGTTATGCATTCGCATCACGCGTCCCAACCACTTCAACTGATGAGGATTCATTATTTCATCTGTTGACTTGCCACCCTTACCTAGTTCTCGTTTCCTAACAACAGCATTGTTTAGTCGGCTGTCTCTGGATATATGAGCAATGCCTCTAAGACCCTAATGATTGAACACCAGTAAACTACGAATATCCCACATTCTGCTGCTGTGAAGACGGATATCTCATCTACTCTACAGCTCAACCAATTCTCTCCCTATCACTAGTTTGGGTGCCGATGCAAGCTAATACTGGAGAAACATTTTATAATTCGAGGAGGAGAACTGCATTCCGAACATGCTTGGCTAATTGCTCAAAATGGTCAGAAGACTCGGAATTTTGTCAGCATCTTTACCTAACAGATCTTTGTCATCAACATATTCTAAGTCAACACGCAAGTTTAATGGGTAGCAGGTAAACTCCTGTTAAGTCCGACGATGAAAAGGTCGTTTTTAAAAGCATTTGGATGACGAAGTTGAATAAGAATGGCGAAAGAGGAGCCTGTACTTTTTTAGTACTACTTTCACTACTATAGAGCCTCACGATCAACAGAGTCTAACACAGCCTCAAGGTCGAAATGTGTTTTCGTGTTCTAGGATTTGACGAAGTCTGTATATCTGATCTATGAATGCACGACCAGGTCTCGCACCAGCCTGGATTTCTCGAGTTTGCTCTTCACAAGCTCTAGTTAGGCGTCGAAGCATGATGGAAACTAATATCTCAGACAGTACTAGCTAAACTGATTCTTCTGTGACGCCCACAAGAGGACTCTAATCCTTTCTTGTAGACTGGGACAATCAGCGATTGAGACCAGTCAGATAGGACTACGTTCTCATATTATCACTAAGTTCTGACTGGTGAAACTGAAACATCATCCTTAAAAAACTCAGTAGTTAATCTGTTGGTACCTGCTGCTCCTCCTCGCTTTAGATTTCCTTTAGCTTTTTCAACTGTATTAATAGTTGTAGGATTCACATAAATTTTCCATTCGGGTTACTGGGGACTGTGGGTAATCGAAATATAGTTAAAGACCGAATAAGCCATGGAGATAAGAGAGATGTTAAGGGATGAAGGAAGGATTTGATTGTGACCAATTTGGTCTGATATGCTGTTACGGATATGAAGGTGGATGTTACTTCCCGGCTGCCCACATCGTAGAAGGGTGTTTCCTGAGGAAGCTGAAAAGGAAAGTAGATTAATGTTGGTCTCAGAGACCTGAGAGTGGAACCGTACAGCCTAAGGGACAACTGCTCCATGCTGGTCATGCACGGCTTTTTCATGAGAAGTTTTTGAAGTATTAACTTTGCTCTTGTTTGAAAGGCCTTGCCGTCGGAGACGGAAATCCTTGAGGTGAGGTAAGGTGTCAAATTTTTAGGGTCAACCTTTTCTAGCCCCTTCCTTCCTTGTGAGAAGGCAGTATCGCTGCAGATGCTGGTTGTCCGAGGGAAACACCTTACTGCTGTCACACTCCTCTACAGTGAGCAGTACGACTTCGCCTTCAGACATTGAGTAGCTGCCTTTAGTCTCATCGTTCCTGTATGTCCTATCATACCAGGTAGGTCGATCGGGGAACGATATGTTCCAACCAATATAGCTCGACTGGGTCATCACAATGGGTAAGCCAGACCATTATATTAAGTGGGCAGCTACGATCTGGAATTCTATTATCTTGCAGACAATCAACGAATATGCGACAAGACAACAAATGCATCTTCTAAGACGTCCCTTTTACTTCTACAGATTAAGCTAGTTGGGAAGTTAATAAATAATAGTATTTTAGTTCATATTCGTTAAACGCTTCCCATTGTAATCGAAAACTGGTGACGCTATCACGATTTACAGTGGACACGCGATGTCGAAACAGTTACTGCAGTGTTTGAAATATCAATGCTACTGCTATTTACATGATGAAAAATGGACTATTGTGTCAATTCATAGACCTGAAGTATGCATATAGAATACTCGCATCATAGTACCAACAGGACTCATTCACCAGTAATGATCTACTCACACGTTATCTGTAACATCTTATTTACCTGGACTTGATATGATATTTTATCACATTCTGATCACAACCTATTAAACCTCAAGCTAGAAGATGATGAAGGATGAATTTAAAGCTTTGATTGTTTAAAATTAATAATAGTAAATATGTGCCTAAAATATTAATATAAATCCAAAACATAACAGTTATTTTTCGATCGTTATAAAATGAAGTGAGAAGGTACATTTATTATGGTTAGTGACATGGAGAGCAAATTAAGAGTGGCGGGAAAAGGCGATCAGATATGTCCTAAAGGATGAATGCACATTATCGGTCAAGCAATGAATTCATTTTCTACGGGGGATTAATGTATATCTATAAATAAGTATTGACGTATATTATTCGGTATCTCAATAGACCTTCTCTTCTATTCTCGCTTTTTCGTCCAACTAGCCAGGCTGTGGGGTCAACAAATATCGCGTTTAGATCTGGAACAGCGCACATCAGAACAATTAAGATAATTACTTTATACTGTTAAAGATTTTCTAGGCCTAACAATCATGTCTTAATTAACCAAACGATGAATAAGCAACAAGCTAAACTCCTTCAATGGCCTGCAACAGTTGGTTGTTTACATTCTGTATATAAGCATGTTATTTTACTGCATGAAACTACGGGACTCCTTGTTATAGTTTGCAAGACAGGACATAAAAATAAAATAGTAGTCTTGCTCACCATATTAAAGCCAAAGTCGCAGACAGTAGCTTAGCTCAGAAATCTATCAAATATTTAGTCAGCCAGTTAGTTAAATGCCTCTAAAACTAAACCGATTATTAGATACCTCATTTATTTCATTAAAAGTGGAGTAAACAAATTTAAAAATAAATATTAGTAACTTCAGTCTATTGAAAAACTTCATGCCAAATAATAACAGCCAACCGCTTATAATATACCTTGAATAAACTCAGAGTACAGGAATTGTACAATTATTTAACAGATCAAAAGAAGAAATGATATAGTGATTTGGAAAGACTCGTTAATTTTAAGTGTAACAACTATTGTCAAGGTATGACATTTGACGGAACAGGTGAATTATCGAAAAAGAAACTAGCTGATATAATTTGTTCATCAGGATTATTAGGAATGCGACGTTTTGGATTTCTTATTGTTCCCCACACCCACATCCAATATAGTGCCCCAACAATAAAAAACACAGCGCCAAATTCAATTTTTATGGCTATTACCCATAAGCACAAAGTAATAATGAATTGTATGTACCATAAATTCCAAACAGCAATGATTCTAGATAATATCTATACAAAAATATGTGTAACTTTTTTTAAAGGTATCGGATTTGAATTGATTATTAAATTATTTATGAACTCTTTTAAAATAAAAACTTAAGTGATCAAAATTTGCGAGGGAAGCAAACAGTTTATCAACCTGTTATTAACTTTAATTTTTAAGAATATGAATGCACAGATAGTTTATTTGACTTTCATTTTGATGGAGATAATTAATTCGAACTCGTGGGATAGAGAGTATATAATATACAATGGTGAAGTGAATAAGTGGCACTGATGGTCATTTGTGGAAATCTAATATGTCAATATTTTAACAGTAACATACAACGTCGGAAGATTCAAATTTTCTATTGTTTTTTATCACCAACCATCAGCCAGATATATAGTATACTATCTCAGTCGCTTATAGTCCGTTCACGTAAGCATACCATGTTAGTGTTAAGCATAATGTCTAAACGCTGATGTCGACTAATAATAACGCCTCACTGAGTTATATAAATAAGATTTATGTACACAGATAACAAAACGTATCCACTACATCATTATTGGGATGTAGATAAACCAGTCATTTGCGTTTCAAAGATAATATCTTTTTACACTATCAGTCAATCAGCACACGAAATCAAATTAGTCTTTTTACACTACAATACAAATTAGTGCGAAAATGAAATAGAATTGTATTACTGTAGATGGTTTCCCTTCCACAGGACTGCCGACAGGTTTTTGAAGCACGTTTACGACAGTAGGTTCTACTTCCGGGGTTACTGGATTCGCCAGACGATAAGCCTCCAATTGAGCCTTAATTTCGAAGTAAGAACGCTGTTTAAATTTGGGCACCATGTGATTAGTCTGAAAATATTCCATTAACAGACACGTCATTAAGTGGACTATATATATATATTGAAAAGGCAAATGAGACCTTCAAACATATCCCGGAAAAATAGTATATTAGTTAGCGCTATGAAAGGAGCCTGTGACGTGTGATGATTCACATGTAATCATAATGCATAGGATCCCAAATAACATTTTTGAGACTAATTAGACCGTAAAGCCTTGAATAATGGTGTTTAAAGATGGTGAGAACTATAAAGAATCAAAGTATGTGTTGCTAATTTTAATTCGCAAACTTTTGAAGCACCTTACTAATTGACTGTTATCGGTAGTAATATACAACTATTTTATTACAAAAGAACCTTTCAAATAGCAAGTAAGCATGTATATAGATAGCTGATTCTTAAAATTTTCTAGTGACTTACAAACAGGGAAGGTAAACTAAGGTTGTGCTTATTCAAAATAGTTTACCACAGGGTATTCAGCAATATATACAGATCATGCCCTGGCCCAAAGACAAAACAAAGACGAAAAATTCGAAGTACTTCCCTCTAGTTTACGATGAAAAGCTGGTGTCTAAACAATCGTCGGACATAAGCTATTTTGGTACGGTGATCGTTTAAAGATTCTACGTAACTCACTTATGAACACGCTCCCTCAATATTCCTTTCACTAGAAAATCTGAAAAAATGTTGGTTAGAGAATCAAGTTACAGTCAAAATTTATCTACACTTAGACACAAAGTTTATATGACTTTTTGTAACTTCAGTATATCACTTAAATAGACTTCTAAAGCCGTCAGGATCTGGTAGGCAAATTTCTCATAATTAATAACCAGAACGTAATAGTAATTTCCACTTGATATAATTCACACAACACTGTAAATAAAGCATACATCATGAATGCTTTCGGTTTAACTCAAATGACTGTAAAAAAGGATTAGACTACTTGGATTCAGAGTGGTACAGAAGTTGGTCCCGATATTAACGAACTGGAAGAAAGCAACAGATACGACTATTTTCACATATCAATAACACAACAAAAACACGAACTAAGATTTCTACTTCGTTAAAGATAGAGGAAGACAGGAACAAAAAGAAAGTCACAAACGATTACTTTGAGACAGTTTACAGTCATGAGTCTCCTATTGACGAAGAGCTAGGGCTAGAGCCGCAGTACCAGGGAAGGCTGCTCAGTGTAAGCTTCAGATAGTACGATAATCTAACAAAACTGGACTCTCTAAAAACGAAAAAAGCAACGTGATCAAATGAGATACACCCAGGAACCCCAACAGAAGTACATTATACACTGCTACCACGCTCACATCGATATTCAGAATAGAGCTCAAAAAGCGTGGAATTAATCTGCACTGAAGGCAAGCAACCACCAATCTAATTCATGAGACAAAAAAGCAAAATTTACAAAAACTGTCATCACCAAGTGTGAGGAAATGAGAATAATTAGAAGTCATTAGGAAGGTAATAATGCCCTAAGCGGAAAATAACAAGTTTTTCAAACGACCAACAGCATGGATTTGCGAAAGAAATGATGTACACGGCCAACTTAATGGCGAGAGGTGGAGTAAACTATCTGATGATGGAAAATCACTGAATCTTGTATACAATAACTTCAGTAGGGCACTTGATAAGATACCATGTGTTCTTCATGATACATACAACTTGAGATTCATACTTGAATACTGTGTTTAGGCTAAGCTCGTTTAAAACATGGCTCATGTACCTTGGTACAAGTGCAGAGGCCAGCTAGTCATTCATTTTGGGCATTCCGACATATAAAATAAACAGTGAAGCCAGAAATAGTAAAAAGGTTTAATGCCAAACCACAGATTAAGCAGTGGTCTGAATTTGAAGTACAGAAGATTAAGGAACGATTTTAGACTTAATATGTACCCTGTGTTTTTGTCCTACTATATCAGGACAACTTAGAGGAGATAGCAAGCGAGTTCAAAAGCCTCAAACGAACATAATTCAGAAGACGCGTCTTCTTGTCAGATATCAGTTATTGAAATCTGATACCTAAAGAAGTGGTGTCTGCACCATTAACTGGATTATTGAAGATGAAACTATAAAGAAACGGAATCTTACTAAGAAACCAAGTACAAGACATCTTGCGCAAAAATAAAAAATATTGACCTACACATCAACTTTGTGGCACCTTTTCAATATACAATATACTTGTGTCGAGCGAGTATTAGGCAAATCAATAGTCTAAGCTCATTTCTTGTTGTTTCGGGGAGGTGTCACATTTTCAGCAACTTTTAACGTATCCAGGTTGTCTGTGGTTAACAGTCCCAGATTACGCTTTCAAGAATCAGCTTAGAGCGGATTCTCAGTTGAGGTAGGTTATTTGGTTCTCATGGTGCTAGATTATTATCACATAACATTTTGACAGATTTGTTTTTGACCAACTGTCCGCTACCCTATTCCCTAAGTTTGTGAAGTCTTTTTTGACCCTCGGTTGAGATGTTTCGTTTGTCGATGCAGTAAATTAGGATCTGAAGATATAGATAAAACTTGTACGTAGAAAGTTTTGTAAGTCTTCGACGTTGTTGCAGACCTCACTGGTTTTAATGGAAACGATCAGTTGAAGGCGCTCGGTCATATTTACATGTCAGATCATCATGGGAACGCCACACAAAGCGTTTCCTAACATAAGCTGGCAAGCTTAGTTTACTCACTTTTTGGTATTTCGATCGTCATTCAAATGAACCTCATATGTGGCTTCCGGTTTCACTTGGCTTTCGGTATCCTCGGTCCACTAGGTGTTATGGACAAAAGTGTCACCAAACTCTGAATATAGGTGATATCCAGACATTTTCCATATTGATAAGACGTCTTTTCTAAGCCAGAGTGAAATCGTCTCTTCGTTTGTAAACATTTACGTTTTTGAGTCGATGCAGAAGATTAGAGTCGTTAGGCTATTATGTCATTGATCAAAAATCAGAAAGAGTAGTGGGTTTACAGTATTTTCTTGTAGGACTCCTGATGTTGAAACCCTAAAATTTGTAAGCTCTGTACACACCTTGATGCGGAACATCTGCTTCTCCAGGTGACTTCTAAGTCACGGTAGGAGCGGGTCGAATAAACTCATCTTTGAAGCCTTCTTCTCCAATACTGTTTGGGTTCTCTGTCGAAAGTTTTTGAGAAGTTAAGTAGCACCATATTTGTCGGAATCTCTCGGTCCCAGAAGTTTTCCCTGGCATCTATAACCAGAAGGAGGTTGAACATACCGGACCTGCATGTGCGGTGTGAGCTACTTATAAGTAGTATATGACGCGAGTGTAAACGTAATGTCTGGCAGCATAATATGGGGGAAGATCAAGAAAGGAAGAGTTAGAAAACAATGGAATTTGTATGAAACGCATGAATAGTGACAATGGATTGATGCTTTGCAACAGGAACATTCCAGTTCGATAGGATGAAATGATATTTTTCAAATGAACAATTTACGACATGGTTTTCCGATTTTACTGAGTAACTCTGTAATTTTCGTTGAATACAATTCGGTTGCCCCACCTGTGTTCTCCTTCACTACATTTGGTGTCGCTGCCTACGCAAAGGATGAAGATTCCATGGCCGAAGGAGTTTGAGGCCGTGGCGGAGCGGGCGGGTGTGAAGGAACCGAAGGCGAAGTTGGTGGTGCTGGGGACGCTGCTGGGAGGAAGGGCGAAGGCCGTATATGACAGCTTGGACGGTGCTGGCGGGAAGACGCCTTGGGAGACGGTCATTGAGCGGCTGATGGCCGAGTTCGACAGCCCGGGGTACAGGGAGGAGGCGTTGCGGAAGTTCCGGTTGGCGAGGCTGTCGGCTGATGGTGACTCGCTGGTGCTTTCTGTGGAGCTCACAAGGTTTCTGCGCCGTGCGTTGCCGAATATCGATGAGGAGTCAGAGGCACAGTTGTTGGCGTCGCAATTTATTGAGAGTGTGCCTGCCGCCGTGTCCCAGCAGCTGAGATTAGTAAACGCAGCACAACCTATGGACATCGGTGAACTGGCGAAGGTGACTCGTCAGCTGATGGCACGAACAGTAGCTCCGGTTGGGTGCGAAAAGCAGGAGATAAATACTTTCGAGAAGAAGATTGAGGAGTTAGAGCGTGAGATAGCAGCATTACGAGTAAATAATAAAAGGAACGATAAATGTTACGCTTGTGGAGAGGCAGGACATTGGATGATAAGCTGTCCAAGAAGACGATGACTAAGATATTTTAAATATTATAATGTGTTTTCTTTCCACCCTAGGAATCGGGAGGTTCTTGCACTAGTAGATAGAGGGGCAATTTATGCCAGAGTGTACATAAATGAACAGGAGTTAGTGTGTTTGATTGATACAGGGGCAGCTATATCGTTAATAAGCAAAGAGAAATGTAAGACAATTAAACCATGTACATTAGCTGTCCACACCATAGGAGGGCATATGCTAGAGGTGTTGGGGGTATCTAATAGTATTGTAAAAATGAGTGGAGCTGAGATAAATTTTCCCTTCGTGGTAACCACAAGCTTATCGAGACCGATATTAGGAGCAGACTTACTAAGAGAGGTAAAAGCGAGAAGCGGTAAAATGGTCACAAAGTACGGTTCATTGCCAATACACGAAAGTAGCGAAGTGGCTGAAATAAGGATGACAACGGACGTCTCGACAAAGAAACCAAACATTAACGAGTTATGCGCAAAGTATGCGAAACTGTTCACTGGAGATGGGGAGCCGTATGGATTTTGTGACAAAGTAAAGCATGAAATTCCTATAAAGAACGACCGAGTAAATATATTTGCAACACGTCGTGTCCCGGTGCATTTAGAGGCCGAGGTAAATCGACAAGTCCAGGAAATGTTGAAGGAAGGTATAATTGAGGAAGCAGACAGCCCGTATAGCTCACCGGTACTCTTGGTAAAGAAACCCAATGGAAAGTATAGATTTTGCGTCGACTTTAGAGAACTGAATAATATAACAGACCTGAAACCGTGCGCAATACCAACAGTAGTAGAAACATTAGATCGGCTACATAATGCCACGGCATTTACAGTGCTGGATTTACGGTCAGGTTATTGGCAACTACCTATAAATGATAGTGATCGCAACAAGACAGCATTTACTATACGGGACAAACAGTATCAATTTAAACGAATGCCGTTCGGGTTGGCGGGTGCACCGTTCACGCTCAGAAGATTGATGACGCTGCTGCTTAAGAAACTAGATAATGTGGAGGTATATGGCGACGATGTAGTTGTATACAGCCTGATGGAAACAGATCACGTCAAGCATGTGGAAGCGGTCTTAAAGTGAATTGAGGAATTTGGGCTTCTAATTAATAAGGAAAAGTCGCAGATAGCGAAAAACAGCATCATAATGTTGGGACATAAAGTGGGAAATGGAGAAATAAAGCCATTACCAGAGAAAATTCTTACCATAAAAAATACTGCAGTACCTAATTTGAAAAGGAAGTTGAGACAGTTCCTGGGAAGGGCGACGTTCTATAGTCGGTTTGCCAAGAATTTCAACGAAATAGCAGCGCCCTTATATAAGTTGCTGAGCAACACCATGTTTACATGGACTGAAGCTGCCGAACAAACGTTCAACGGAATCAAAAACATGCTAGACGATCGTCAGATGACGCTGCGACTGCCACAGATGCAAGTGATCATGGTATAGGTGCGGTATTGAGTCAGACTGATAGAGTGGTGGAATACGCAAGTCGCGTTCTCACACCCGCCGAGCAGAAGTATTCAACGATCGAAAAGGAGTGCCTAGCAATCGTGTGGGCAGTAGAAAAATGGAGACCGTACCTTTTAGGTAGACGATTTCACATTGAAACTGACCATAAACCCCTGCAGTGGTTGAGAACAGCAAGAGACCCCCGAGGGAAGTTGGTGCGGTGGATGATACGTCTGCAAGAATACGACTTCAGTATCGGCGGCGTAAGGTGATACACGAGTGTCACCAGGTAGCACATACAGGCATCGCAAGAACGACGGATTTATTACGACAAAGTGCATACTGGCTGGGCATGAGAGACGATGTGGCTCAATACGTGTTAACTTGCCAGCAGTGTCAACTAATGAAAAGTGATAGATACACACAACCGCCATTACAGTCGATCCTAGTAACCGCAGTCGGTGATCTATGGTCGGTGGATATAATGGGACCGTTTCCACAGACGGCGACCGGTAACCGGTACCTGCTAGTGATGACGGAGCATGCTACACGCTGGATAGATGCCGTACCCATTGCAGACCAGCGGGCAAGAACATTGACCGAACTGGTGATCCGGCATATTGTAGCGTGCCACGGAATACCGAAAATGATATTAACTGACCAGGGTCCCTGTTTTGAAAGTGAAGAGTTTAAAGACCGTCTAAAACAGTTTGGCATCAAGAGGATACGAACTACACCGTATCATCCTCAGACAAACGGGCTTACAGAGAGAAACAACCGGACGTTAGAGGAATGATTAGCATCTAAAGGAGGAGATTGGGAGAAAGAGTAACTCTGTAATTTTCGTTGAATACAATTCGGTTGCCCCACCTGTGTTCTCCTTCACTACACATGTTCTAAACCAATGTTGGGCTTCAGTAAGGCTGTCGTTTTATATTACCTCACTTGGTCACTGACCAGTCTTCAATTAAAACGGACAGTAATGAGAGTTATGCGACTGGTCTGTATCAGATTTGGCTTTCTCTACCTCCTTCTTTGAGGACTGGAGAGAACGTAGCCTGTTTCCATTCGTTTGGGAGATTCTGAGACACCAGTGAATAACTGACCAGATCACATACCGGTTTCTCTGATGGCTTCCGCACACTGTATCGTAATTACAGGGATAATTTCGGATAGCGTTTTGTATTAGTAGGTGTTCCACACCTCACTTTATCTACACTGCTGCTTCTTCAGGTGTGCTTTGGCTGCAGGATTGCTCCCTGGATAACATCCCACACGATCTTCCGGTCGTCTTCTTAGACTAAGGCGCACTAATCCCGCGGCCAGATGACGTTACGAAGATGATCCATCATGATGGACTACACTTCTCTGGTGTACCGAAGTTATGGAATACTTCCACTGCTCCCAAGTACCTCATTTGTGACTGTGTCGTGATAATTGCTCCTTTCTGGTACTTTGACATTGGCATCTACTTTGATGTGCTTTCGTAGTGTACAATACAAACTTATTTTTCATTTATTTATTTACAGTGATGAAAAACGTATGTTGTTGTTTTTCGAGTAGAATTCCCGACGAATTTGACGTGTCCTCGCTGACTCTCTTCCATTTACGGAAAACAATCCACTTTCGGGATACTGTATCACCTCCGAAGCTATAAAAAGTTGTCTCCATTCATTGGTTGACAATCTGAAAACATTTTCGGGCATACGGAACCATTCCAAGTCATAACCATTGCGCGGTAGGTCTAGCTACCTCATTCAACTGCTCTATCTCTAGTTGCTTCGGCAGCATACATACATCCACTCACTCACAAATACAGGACTAGTGGACAAGTTACTGGATACACGCAACGTTACTTACTAATACGGTCAAAGGTAAAGTTGCAATTTTGGAGTACTTTCAGGCTCTATTCCTTGTAGTTTTATTATATACTACTAAATTTCTTCTTTCCTAATCCCCTTTTTGTGTATGTCGTATTCTAATCTCGGTATTCACCTCCTAATCTCCCTGGCATTATGTCAAGTAATAAGGTCGCTAGTACACTTTACATTGTAACAACTAGGAAAACTTATAGAGGTATAAACCCCAAGGTCGATAGTGCATCGAAAATCCCAATATCGTGCGAACGGGTCGCTAAAAAACCCAAAACGTCAGTCGATAGTACGCCCCTCAGTGTCCATACTTTAGACCACTCAACCCAGACGCCACAGAGGAAGCAGGACACCACTCTTATTCCTAAAAAGACCAGTAAGTTAGTTAAGAATAGGAGAAAAGGACGCTCCAAGGCTCGGTCGACACAGTCCAACGCCCAGAAACAGCATAAGGACGACTGTTTTGCCTGCTCATCACCAGTCAAAACCAGCGACCATGCTTTCGAATGCAACTTCTGTAGTACATGGGTACATTGTCACTGCGACAATACAGTACCTAAAGAGTACTACGGTTTCATGCTGAGTCACCCCTGCCCATGGTTCTGGTACATCTGCCCTCGGTGTAGAGTTTCTGAGGCACTGACAAAGCCACAGGTCCCACCTAAAATCAGCCACAAAATCCAAACGATCAAAGTAAAATCGCCTGGCACTAAACCAGTAAAACAAGTGACCAAGGCTACCACAACCCTGCCTAACACACCGACAAAACTGCCGGTTGTTGTTAACCCCCCCAGTATCTGTCAGCAACACGAAACAATGGGTAACGTGAAGAAGGGAAAGAGCAACACCCCAACTCACAAGCAGCTTCCACCCAAGACCAGGGACGACAGATCTAACTCACTTATTTTATTTAATGTCCCAGTGTCGGAAGGAAGCTTGCTAGAAGGTAGGGCTGCCTTCGACAAAGAGCAATGGGATAAACTCTGCACAACCCTCGGAATGTGCGACGTCCCAGCCAAAATATGCCGCCTTTTCAAAGGCCAAAATGTCTCGAAAGGAAAACCCCCTCCAATGAGGGTAACTCTTGACTCGGCACGACTTGCTGAAGACATAATCCTTTCATCCCAAAGACCATCGGTCAAATTGTCCTCGCTGATTCATATCAGGCATGACAAGCCGTGGTCGGTACGTGCAGCAGCCAGAACTGAGCCAGACACCCAAGAACAGACCACCATGGTAGTTCACGGTACACACCCGAACTCACCAGCGGTAACCCGGACGAAGCTCACGAGCACGATGTGCAACAGTGGCGATGGCTATCGCGTAGCCTATCCCTCCACACCACGATGGCAGTCTGCATTTCCAGGTTGCCCAGCCCGTCACACCTTACGTCTATCAAGTCACCACGCCTGATGGCTGTAACATTTAGGAACCAGGAAGACCTGACCAAAACACTACAAGCTTGGTACAGTTCGAAGAACGATCTGCCTAGCCACATCAGTTGTTGTGAGAGCCGACCTAGATCAGTGAGAAAACAACAGGGAGGCCAAAATGAACGCACGCAACTGATAGTTAAACTCGGTCAACTACCTCTGGCACAAGATATGAGTGAACCAACCGCGCAGGCAAAAAACCTGCAGAGGCCAGTTCCCACAGAACTGGCCGATTCGGTTTAAATAACTTGTCTGAAAACCCGACAAAGGCTGCTGCTGCAAATGTGCACCAGGTGCTGAGACAAACCACCAAGTGCCTCTATAGCAACGTAAGAGGACTAAGGGGTAAGCTGTTAGAAATCAGGAATATGTGCTCTCAGATGGATCTGAAGATCATAATCCTAACTGAAACATGGCTGTACCCTGACATTGCAGACGCAGAAGTGAGCTTACCAGGCATGACACTCTTCCGAAGCGATAGGGAACACCAAACTGGAGGTGGAGTGGCGATATATATATATATATATATATATATATATATATATATATATATATCAACTTAAAAGCAGAGCGACTATACGACACCCAACTAACTGAGGTGACAGAATCATGTTGGTGTTGTTTCCACTCGAATGGCACGAAATACTTGATTGGAGGGATCTACCGACCTCCTTCGGGTACTAAGGCCCAGAAAAGCAAACTGATTGAGGTAATACTGCAACTGCCACTCCTAGGGTTTGATCAAATACTCTTAGCCGGAGATTTCAATACCCCATCTTTAAATCTCAGCAATCAGAGTATAACTCCTACTAGTTGGTTCCAAAGACAACTTGGTACAGCCATTCGAAGCTGTGGCCTGACTGAACACGTACGCAGCGCCACTAGGTGGACTAAGGAAGGGAAGTCCTCAAACCTAGATTATCTGTTAACGAACGACCAGCTCCTGGTTGAGGATGTTCACATTCTCGCTCCAATAGGTAGTAGTGACCATGGCACAGTCCTGTTTAACATGGTCAGAAACGAAACGCTGACACCGGACGATAACGAGCCCTACCTCTGCTACAGTAGGGCAAACTACACACGCATGAGAGAGGTGCTCCTACATGCCCCATGGCCACGGGAGAGGTGGAGGCTGACAGTAGATGATCACTGGCAAGCAGTGAGAGATATCATCCAAAACGCTGTCGTAGACAACGTACCTCAGTCACACCAAAAACGCGGGAACAGAAGAATCTGGGTTAGGAGCGGCACTGAACGCTTGCTACAGGCGAAGAGGAAAGCCTGGCACAAGTGGAAGGTTTCCTTGAAGGATTCCGATCGCAGTTCTTACCGATGCATCACCACCAATCCCCTCGAGGCAATCCTCGAAAGATTGCACATCAAAGAGCGAATACTCAGATTCATGCACACTTTTTCTCATTGCGAGTCGTCGCAACTTGGAATGCTCTCCCAGCCGAAGTAACCACAGCCCTGTCTGTGGACTGCTTTAAGAAGAGACTTGATAATCACGCACTCACATACGAACTATCATCTTCCTCTTGGACAAGCTGTGCCTGATGCATATCTTGAGACCTGCTAGTTGTTACCATTGCCATCTCCTCAGATCACTCGATTAATCTGTCTCGCCTATTATCTCTGTTTCCTCTCCCTTGCTTACACTTTGGTCCTCTCTCACAATCCTCACTACCAATTAACAAACTGAATTCATCTATATATTACTCATTTCTGAAATTTTATTCATATTAGCATTAGAACTTTATCATTACTAACCTTATTACCGTCAACATTGCAACTAACTTATCTCCGGTCTGGTGATGTGATGACTGCTGGTATCCAGAAACCCTACTGCCTTGAAACAAAAGTTTTAATTCAAATCCCGAGACATACAAACTCACAACCAGTTGCCAACTGACTAGAATTAGACAGTCGAGTGGCTAGATCTCCATCCATTGGACATTACCGAACACCTGGAACCGTACTGAAGGAACAAGAATCGAGCGCGAAGAAATCAAATTGGTTTACACTAGCTCGTGAAAAAGATATTGCATATTGGACAAGATCAATATAGTCTTGATCAACCACTTATAACGAAGGTACTGAACTCCACGAGACCATAAGAAGAGTAGGAATAAAAAAATTCAATTGGTTCAGAAAGCATATGACATAGATAATTTTTATTGAAGTACAGAGATGTGACAATGCCTTATTCTAGGTTACCTCTGATGCGTTGCTATGTCAACGGGGTAGCCGTATATTCGAATGTCAGGACTGAGCGATACCTCTATTTCGGAACACTCTTTGAATGCTTTTGAAACTGACGAAGTACTTCAGTCTTTAGCAGTCGCCGGGCTAGTAAACGAGGATAAAATTTACTTAGAACTGGCGAACGAAGCAGTAAATTTTGCCAGAGAAGAAAATTTCAATTTATCTCAGTTATGTGGACTTGTTTCAATCATAAATAGAGTGCTAGAAGAACTGTCAAGTAGATTTTGTGTTAAAAGACTAGGTTCCAGGCTCACCATACGACGATATACAGAATGTTTTAGATGTGTCTGACAAAATTATGATGAGTTACTCCATCCAGGTAATGTACAGGCACTTTGAGTCTTAATATCCTGGTTTATCTCAACAGAGGCCACCCCACTGCATTGAGCTATTCACGATTGCCGACTCACTAAAATGTGTTAGATTTCTGGTGGACTCCTTGTTTAGACACTGGAGACTTTACAAGTTTGCACTAGCTCCAACAACGCGCCTCGTTCCCCAGCTCATTTATGATACGAAAGGTGAGTCAGGTATAGTTCGTAACTGGAATCAGTCCTTTATACAACCAACTATTAGTTTTCGCTTGCAAAAATCATGGAATGATTCGTAGTTAATACAGGTTCAAGTCATATCGACGAGATGCCAGATTTGTTGGAATTCGTTCTTTGAATCCTGTAATTATCTTCCTAACCTCTGATTGTGTGGTTCGCATTGAAAGATCATCAATCTCGAATGCTAGAACTACTCTTTAGGATAAGTGAGGGACAGAATTTCAGCTAGCCATTAACTTGTATTTCACTCATTGAGTAATTCATCTTCAGAATGACAGTGAAATGTTATGAGAAGAAGGGCCTAATGTTGCCAATCTCAGTGAACAGCCAGACGCTTTCTCTGAAAAATGGCACTTTGTTAACAGAAAAAAACCGTATTTCATTAGATTTTCATTACGCTTAGGCTTTAAACAGTTTGTCAGTGGGATCTGATCCGAAATAGTAAAAACATTGTCAGATTGGAGCATTCCTTTAAAGATCTGATGACTAATATACTTTGAAAGGTTGATACTAATATACTGGGCTCATTGTCAGAAATAACACATCATACTAAAATATCTCGTTATTCGAGTTTCTCTTTAAAGTCTCTACGATTTTAATTTTTTTTTGAACAGATTATGAATTTAACGTTATCGACTTGAAACCATCAGGTAAAATGGAAACATAGTAAAACCAAACATCTTTTTACAATACAGGAAATGACTTATTATACTCGATTTTAAAACATGCGCTTGAAGATCAAATTGAAGTCACCAAACATGGAAACCAAACGAGTAATTGAGTTTAAAACAAATTTTGTTCTGAAAGTTGTCTTCTCAATTCTTATACTTAATAATTTACGCAATCACTAGAGCAAACACTTGGTGACAGTACCTACGCAAATACTCACTGTTATTAAATAAATACATGTACACCAAACTTCTTTCTTTATAGTTGGTTAGATATATCGGTAAGAGTCCAAAATTCTAATGGAAAATATCTATAAATACGCTATTTCATTAAACAATTTATAGTTCCATTAATATTAGGAAGTTTCAAACAATTCGCATGCATTCTTTTGTTCTTATTAGGTGCTTAAAATCATCTGGTACGATAGTTCAGTATACCCGATAACATCACTTAACTGCGAGGTGGTCATTCAGCTAAATAAAGTTTAACAAAGTAACAATAACTCTAACAGCTTAGCCATAATACTCCTAACAATGGCGTCTTGATGTACATTTAATTTTTTCGTGGAAAATGATTTTAATGGTGTTCTAACAAAAACACAATATTAGGGTCCAAAAAATTTTAATTACAACCTTTAAACATGAATTACATCATGTCAAACTATAAGGATACTAATATCGAGTACTTAGAAACCTGTCACTCTGCAATTTTATTCTTTATATGTAAGGAACTGTTTTTCAATTAGTTTTTGACAAAAGCACAACTACAACAAACCTCAAGCAGATAAACAAATGTTTATTATTGATTAGAAAAAGACCTGACTACAGTAGGAAACTTTTATACAATCAGAGAAACTAGGTGAGTTTTCTGGTAAAACTGTTCAAAGACACTTGAAAGTCGAAGAGAAAAGTGAGGGGTACTTACAAACAAAGTCCTGTCCAGTATGGTTAAGAATGTCAGGTAATAAGCACTTACAAAAAAATCAAAATCAGGCTTTTTAAAAAATATAGAGAAAATAAGTATCATTTTTTTCGTGAGGATTTAACTTGAGATAACGTTAACTTCACACATCCAGGAAAATTTCGCGATACTTCTTCATCTTTGATTGCACGTATTAATTCTCGTTCTCTGTTAGTTGTGGATTTTTCCGACGTAAATTGGAACAATGCCATTTTTGATGCTAGTTTTAAACAAACAAGAAATAAGGTAATGATATATACTAGTTATAATGTGAAAACAGATTTTTTAAGTGATTTTACTTTGAAGTAGCCTAATTCCTTGCAGCCTTGAACATCTAAGTGAACGCTTGATAAATATACATTTCCACTTGGTTTGTTGGTAGATGAGATGATGGTTAGGGATTTCCTTCTTGCTTTAAGTAATATGCTGTGCGTGATGTAATCGCTGTTTTAAGCTTTTCTGTGTGAAATAATATGTCCTATAAATCTTCGTATAGGGCTTCTGATTTTACACTTCCCGACAGAAGTTGGATCAGTAGTGTTTGTGAAGCTTGGCGTTACGAAGTAATCCTGAACATTAGGAATTTCCAGTTAGATAGCTTAACAGGTTTTCCAACTACTTCGATAAATTGTAAATGTCATTATGAAATCGCTGACAATGTATGAAGTATTAAGTTATATCAACTCTTAGATAAACTATTGAAATGACAGTTAATATACAGTAGCGTCTGGATACCAAGTATTTGATAAAAAGAAATTATGCGTACAGTTTAAATTTTGATCATTGCGCCAAATAAACATCCAAGTCCAAGAATATCATGCACTCCATATAGGATATATTCATCTGTATGCTTCAAAAAACTATGACTTTTAGAAACCAGTAACATCAGTGAAATATAAAAGTACATTATGTTAGAGAATTCATGCAATATAATTTTGAGGATACTTAAGCATAATAAAGGAATAAAAGCCGATATAACTGATCGAGGGAAACATGAAATGGTAATTTTTTAGAATCCTTTCTAAACTGGGAAAATTGTTATTCTAGTTGCGCATTAATAACTTATCTTCTTGACTGACAATCAGAACAAAATAATTTTTCAAACAATGTAAAGATAAAAAGATATTATTGATCATACCTTTTCCTCGTTTCGTAGTTCCCGGGTTAAGTTTAACTCTGAATTTATACTTTAATAGAACTGAATAAGGGGCACAAACTGGAATAGCATATAATAGCAAATCATCATCATTAGGTTGGCCAGTCAATGAGTTTAACAAAGAAGTTAAATCATCTTTCGATTCAATTGGAATATCTTCATTATCATCATTATCATTAGTTTTTATATGATCAACTTCTAAAGATTGCAAAGTCACTTCACTTTCATTTGATTTGACAGAACAATTGTCGGTTTCAATGCTCAAATTATTGAATAATTCATTGTGATCATTGTCAGGTTGATTATTTTGTATACTATCTGAATTGTAAACAACTTGGGTATCCGGTATAGGCTGTAGAGTTTCAATTGAGTTCGACAAGTTATCACGTTCAAGAATTTGGTGATACTGACTTGGTTTGGCATCATCTCCCTGTAATAAATAAAGTGGGATTTCGTAAATTGCACACTATTGATACATTATTAATATGACCAATAACAGGATTATAGTATTTAACGTATAAAATGATTCACAGAAAAGTTTGATAGTGAATTAGAGGAGCAAACTGACAAAATAGTGTAGAACTTGATTTAAAAGTACAGTGGTTTAGGGTGCCACAATAGATAATGGTAAAATAAGAAAACGAGGAATAAAGGAAGAATAGAATAGTCAAGACTGAGAACGTGAATAATTAAATATGCTCATATTCCGTAGTGATAGATTTTTGGAGCTATCATTGATCTTTCTTATTTCACTTTCTCTATCTACTAGTATCGATAGTTGTTGAATATATTGAATAAGTATAACAAGCACATTTGTTACAATTTTACAATGGAGAATAAGTTAGCTAATGTACCTAGATCTCTAAATTTTGCCTCGACATTGTATATTCAGTTTAACTAATGCCAATAATATTTGAGACACATTTATGATTGAACACCTAACAGTCGTGAGCTGCCGTATGAGTTAAAGAGTAAGGACTACGAAAAATGGTAATAAATGGATCAAATAAGTAATGCAATCAAAATAAAAAAGAATATTATTACATATTTGTTAGATTTGTGCGAATGAGAATTGAAGCAGACATAACATTTTACAGTTACCGTTGTTATTTCGTTTGTGTGAAGGGCTTTAATACTACCTAGGTGCCCAAACTGAAGCACGTGGTCTTTTCACGAGCCACTTCATGAGACTTTGGCCCAGAAGTCTAATCCGCAAGGCAGTAACAAGGAGCAACGTCAGGAGGTGCAGTCCGGTAGTAACCATTGACCAATTATAGGTTCAAACGCCATTTGTTCCGTCGAGATCCTGTGGCCTATTTGTACGATTGGTTGGGAATCAGGGTTTTTTACTCCCCTTGTTGGATTCTTCGTACCGACTAGTCTGGTTAAAGTGCCGGATATTTGTTATTCGTTCTCTCAATTTCGTAGACAACACCATCCCACGTGAGAAGGCAATGGCTACATACGCATCACCATGTGAGAGCGTTTCGAGGGATTCTCACAACTTTTAGTTGTACCAGGGCATGGTTATATTATCATAATGTAAAATATAAGTATAAGATTTTAAAACGTGCTAGCGTTTTAATAAAAATATCGAGTGATATTTAAGATAATAATGAAAAGTTCATATAACATAATCGTGTTACTTGAAGTATCTTCATTCGAAGATTTCTTTCTTCTTCATCTTGTTCTTTGTACTTTAGTTTGATTTTTTTTAGTTTAGCCTTTTGACCACGTTTTAAGACTTGCTGACCAGCTGATGGTAATGATGTTTCATTGAGTTCTTCTTTTGCTTCAATGGTTCCCTTGTTTAAATTTGTTTTCTTCGTTGATTTCAATTTTTCAACCTTTTGACTTTTTGTGTTACATTTTTTCAGAGGATTTTCTGGTATAATTTCCAATACATCAGCATCTTTGTTCCTAAAGGGAAACAAACGTGAAATATATAAATTGTGGTTGTTCTTTGAACAATGTTAAAAGGAAACAGGATTTTAAGGAGTTACATGAACAAAGGCAATGTTAATTAATATATATTCAAAATATTATGAGTATGAAACAGCTTTCAGATTATTAGAAATCTATTAGGAACCACATCCATATTTCTGTACTAGACCATGTTATATATTGTATAGTAGTAAATAATGTCAATGTCATATGAATGAAGAGAACACCTATATTGATCAATCTTCTATTGTCAGTTCGAACTACTTTATTTCTTAGTGCAATACTAATCAATCGTAAAAGCCAATCTTCAAGCTCTAGTATCCATTAGCCCAATGGAGAACATATGTCAGACATTTTTAGTTTATTTTTATTCAAGACATTTCAAAGCGTTAACCATAAGCGTTTTCATCCACTAAGAGTAGATTATACAGTAATTTGATATAATAACATACAATAAATGAGTCTTAAAAAATTCGAGAAAGGTAAGTTGAAATGCAACAGCTAGTTTAAAGTATAATAACAAGGAAGACGAACAAATAACTAAGGTAAATACTGCAAATATTGTTAGTATTGAAATAAACTTAACCTGTAACAACTTAACATATGAACAAAACCATAACAGATTAGCGAAAACAAATACGATTATTTTGAATACCCGGAAAGATCCTTTGCTAAATCAAGTTGAAGGATGGCATCAGGGAACTCAGTAATTTCGTCATCATCCTGGACAGCTAAGGATTCGAACTGATTAACAGGCACTTCATCAGATGGGGTATTTACAATGACGATATGACGTTCCCCTTTATGTTTAGATATAGAATCTTCATGTAACTAAAATCGTAAAACGTATGGAGAAAAGAATAGCGATGAGAGTTTCACAGAGACAAAATTTATGTGATCCATTTAGACAACTTTACTGTAATGAATGACAAAACCACAAGGATGATAAACTACTACCATAGAATACCGACCGTAGTTGCTACCTGGACGTGGTGGTCGGGCTTGCCTATTGTGATGATTCAGTCGAGAAATATTGGCTGGAACATATGTTCCTGTAGGTTATACCATACCAGTCAAGTCATTTGGAGAACGGATAAGACTAAAAGCAGCAACTCAAGGTCTGAGGGCGACTGTAGAGTGTGACAGCAGTAAGGTGTTTCCGTCTCCGACGGCAAGGTCTTTTAAACAAGCACGGAGCTGACACTTTAAGAACTTCTCATAAAAAGGCCGTGTGTGACTGGCCTCCAGCAGTTGTCCCTTGGGCTCTGCGGTCATGCTACCGGCTCTCTAAGACCAACACTAATGTATCTTTCTTTTCAGGTCCCTCAAGAAACAACCTTCCACGGTGTGGGCAGCGGGGAAGTGACAACCACCCTCATACCCGTAACAGCACGTCAGACCAAATCGCTCACAAACAAATCCTTCCTACACCCCCTAACATCTGTCTTATCTCCACGACTAACTCTTCTCACATTCCTTTATCACCCCATACCGTTAATGCAAACGATTCGAGTTCACGAAACGTTATTCCTGGTCCCCTGAAACCCCGGTCTAGACTACATGGAGCTTTCAATGTTCGAACCTTGTGTCAAATAGGACAACAGGCTTCATTTGTAAGGATTCTGGAATCCGGTGTCATCAGTGTATGCTGCGTCTCCGAAACGCGCATACAGGATCCGAGTAGAGTCATTCATTTGACCTCACCATGTCAACACAAAGAAGTAACTCTATTTAATCTTCGTGTATCTGGAAGCCCTGCTGCTGCTTCTAGGGGTCTCGCTGGTGTAGGTATAGCATTGAGTCATAGAGCAGAACTATTATTCATTCTCAATCCAGGAGACTGTATCGATATGCAGAACCGTTTAGGTAACAGTTTAATTGGCCTTCAGCCACACTTCAGTTACCACAATATCCAGTCAACCTGAATGGCAAATTTATGTGAATCATGCAACTCTTTATGCAGTTGGAAAGGCTATAGGAAATCCAAAGCGAGGTAGAGCAGCAGGTCCTGATAAGCTAACTCCTGAGATTTTTAAGGAAGGTGGTCAAGCTTTAACAGTTAAATTGACCAAGATCTTAAGTAGAATCTGGGAACTGGGCGTAATCCCATTTGACTGGTCTTAATTGCTGATTGTCTGAGTCTATAAGAAAGGACAAAAGTCCTCTTGTGACAATAACAATATAGGACTGATAATAATCCGTCGCCTAATCAGAGCTCGTGAAGAGCAGACTCGACAAAATCAGGCTGGTTTTCGACCTGGGCGTGGATAAATAGATCAAATATTCACACTACGACAGGTCCTATAACGCAGACAAACATTTAGGCGTCCGACAATAGTTGTCTTCACAAACCTTAAAACGGTGTAGCAGGGAAGTATATTAGCCTTATACAAGCTCTTTACTCGAACACTACAGGTCGAGTTAGAACATATGGCGAATTGTCATCGGAATTCATTAATTCAAGTTGTGTACGTCAGGAATGTCTACTTCCTCCATTCTCGTTTAATTTTGTCACTGACTTGTTTCTAGATATATCTAGATATATCAACATTATCTTTGTCTGAATTTTCAGGAGTGGACTTTCTACAAGCAGATTCACTGGTTGATTTAGAATAGGCTGATGACATGGTTTTAGTTGGTGAAGACGCTGATGTAATGCAGTCTTCTGATCACCGTAAGCAACAATGCAAGCACGTTCGAGATGCGATTCTCCCCACAGAAATGCAAAATGTTGCTTCAAGGCTGGGTTGCATCGGCACCTGAACTAGTGTTAGAGAGTGGGGGTGTCGACCGCCTCACTAATCTTGGGAGTCTCATTAGTGCTGATGGCCTGGTGACTGACGAAATCTCAGAACGGATGCGGAAGGTTCAATTGGCTTTTACCAACCTACTTCACTTGTAGCGTAGGCGAGATCGCCGTCTGCTAACCAAAGGACAAGTCTACTGTGCAGTAGTTCGTTCCGTCCTACTTTATGACTGTGAAACATGGCCAGTCAGAGTAGAAGATACCCGTAGGTTACTGGTTTTCGATCACAGGTGTCTTCGAAGCATTGCTCGTATATCCTGGGACAACCAAGTGAGCAACGCTGTTATTAGGAAACGGGTGCTAGGTAAGAATGGCAGATCAATAGATGAAATATTGAAACTTCATCAGTTGAGGTGGTTGGGACATGTTCTGCGTATGCCTAACCACCGACTGCCTTGTAGAGCTATATTTTGCGGTGTAGGAATAGGTTGGAAGAAAGCTAGGGGCAGCCAAACCAAAACATGGCAGAAATCCATGAAGTCATTGACAAGTGGACTGAGTCATGTTAGCAGGCGTAAATACCTGGTTGGGGTCCGCGTGATGAGAGTAGTCGATGGTTAGAGATCTCGAATGACATGGCTCAATGCATCTATTCTTTTTGTTCTGTAAAATCCTAACCTTCTGAACTTCTCATCCTTGAACCCTAATCTCTCCGACTATTGCTAATACTCCTACTACCTCTACTACAGTGGGAATTGAAGTGACAATTGCGTTTTTGTGCTAATGTGGTATGGCAACATGAACTGATGTACGTACGTACGTACGAAGTTCTACATTGTAACTGATTGACTGACTAATATAGAATAGATGGAATAGGGCCAACAGTGGGATCCAGGACGTGGGTTTTGTCCTATTTGACTGATTGGTTAGTAGTACCTGCATCCCAGCATTGATTTTTACTCCCAGGCTATAACTTAGTACTGTTCGCTTCAAACTACACCGCGTTATCCAGTTAGCTACTGAGTTCAGATAGCCACTTACTTGAGAAACGAGTATGTGGTTTAATTTAGATCATTCAATCTATTTTATATTTATTTGTGTCATAATGGTTATATCGAGGCAATCTGAAAAGGATGCATTGCCAACCGATGCTGATCGAATTTCAGTCAACAATATCAACAGTAGGATAGTCTAAAACATTTCGAACAGGATGATATGCTGTATAGTGACCAGTGTAATCCCACATTCTCCAAATATATACGCAACGCCCAGTAGAGTGAAATTACTATAATTTGTTAACCTTGTGACAGCATTAAGGTGTTTGTTGTGCTTAATTCAGTTACAGATTGAATAAGTACTAATGTATACATTTCAATGGAGTTAACGATTAGAGTGCTGAAATACACAGTAGTGAGTTCATATAAACTTTTTGAGGACCTACAAGAATCATAGACAAAATCAAAACTTTCTTTAGAAGTGTCAAAACACTTAAAAAATAGACTCGTTAAATTAATTGTCCTTCATGTATTAGATTAATCTCATCCTAATTATGCTGATTTATGAAGTAATTATTTGTTTTCTTATTATTCCTGACCGATAACACCTTGACTTCATGAAGACACACATTTCACAAGCAAGATAAAACTATCCATATCGATCATAATGGATAGTATATTACTTCTGTGAGTTTTACATTTTTAAATTATCACTGCAACTTTAGCAATAAGAATACGTCAACCTTTAATGGTTGTAACTTTGAAACTGTTAGCAACTCTAAATGTAAACCTTAGAATACAATGAATTCCCCTCATTTTACAAATTTTGTTATTCCAACTCTATTATAGATACTGAAACGTAAACTCTTACTTTGAACATAATTCCAAATCCATAATCGAAGGGACATGGAGGTAAATAGTTTTTCTTCCCACGTATCATAAATGACCCGGATGTTAAATATTCACCACTTGGAGCTGTTTTCGATACCTGGTCATGATGAACCCACCAAGCTCTTGTTAGGACATGACTTTGCCATGCCGAACTTAATACAACTGCCATATTTCCAGCTTCTAGAAGAGTTTTTGGAGGAGGCAATGGTAAACTTTGTTGATGCAATAAATCTACATAAAAAAATTTAAAAAAAAAACTGATTAGTTCTTCTAGTAAGAAGAAAGATACAGATAAAGTGGTGTATAATTAGAATAAAATGAAGGTGTAGTAATAGTGTTGTGTAATTCATTTGAATAACTAAGTTCATTTCTACAAACAATTGATAAGTCCGAAACACCACACTAGTTAATTATTATTATTAATACTATTAGCTATTTATCTTCTTATGAAAAATGCCTGAATAGATAAAGAATTCAAGTTTCAACTAACAGGTTCAAGGTTCAAACCCTGAACCACCTTTCTCGGTTTGGGTGACAATTTACTATAACCAGACTATGGGTCGAAACGGAGCACATAAAGCATGTTATTGATCAAGATGTTACAGAAAGAAAATCCCCTAAGGCTACCTTCGATCAAAATATACAATAATTACTTTCGATTCGAAGTCCAAACAAATTCCGTTACTACTAAAATGTTAGAACAACGAAAATAACAGAAATAAGATAAATAGGAAACATCCATAAAATAATGTGACGAAAAGTAGGTTTTCTAACTACTGATTTTATAGTTCAAATTTTTGAAGGTTGCATCACTCCCATGACCTTGTCATACTAAGCAACCGTAGATAAACTCCCAATCTAGAGAAAATGCACCAGACTTCAGTTAATTAAGAACTATTTTAAAGTGTAACTTACCAGGTACAAGGTTTTGTATAATTATCGTTCAGCCACATTACTGGAGTGGATGGTAATGATATTAAATTGTTTCTAGAACTACAGATAATGAATTAGGGTTCTAATACTCAGAACACTATTATTATGAACAGGGTATGTGAGTAACTAAGTACCTATTTTCCTATTTGATCGATGTATTCATGTGTTATATGTATTGCTGAAAGTAATATCGGGGGAAGCGGTTTCATATGCTGAATATTAAAATAGTCCATATTTCTAAATCGGGCTGAAATAGTAATTTATATTCACGCATCAGTGATTTTTAGTCATTACCAAAACTAGTGGGTAATTCAGGAGTGTACTGACGTGTGACCTTGAATGTCATGGAAATATATGGTTGAAAGTATGCACATTGTATGAACTGGTTTTTCTTTAAAACTAAAGCAAACCGCTTTACATATACGACAAAAGACTATAAGTGTAAACTGAATGTTTTTTTGTAAATACAAGGCACGGTTACTGCATTCACTTAAAGTTATCTCACTGAGCTATACTTTTTGGATAATATCTTCGAACTCTGATCTTCTCCATTAGCACTAATACCTCTACTCTCTCTACTACTATGGGATTTCAAATGACAGTTGAATCTCTGAGCTAATGTTGTATGATGGCAACCTGAAGTTATGTACATACGTACGAAGTTCTACGTTGTAAAGAAAATAATCTAACTTATATGCTCGGCTTTGAGTTATAATTTAGATATGGACATCAATTATGCTACTCGGTTAGTCGGATCAGATTAGGTGAATGAGTTTGAACTAGGTACCCATTTGGTTCAAAAACAAGAACTTTAACCACTAAAATATTGTCCTATTTTAACTTACTCTGATGGTTTGTAGAATCTACTTCTTCAGAAGTCAAATGTCTGGCCTTTACTATGACAGTGCTAGCTCCATGTATATCTGCGTGAACAAATATGTCACCCGGTTTTAAGTAACGCTTTACCAAAACTTCGTTTTGTTGTGAATCATGACCAGCGACGACTAAGTAATTTTCTGAACTGATGAACCAGAAGAATTTTTCAAACCTTGTAAAACAAACAAAACTCTAGTGCATTATGCTGATGTATGACAGAAAATATAGAAACATTTCTTATATATTGAAGTCAGTAAGAGAATGAAAACACTTACAAAGTTGTTCACTGGTATCAGGTGAATGATAACACTTAGAATTTGTATGTGGGCTTTGAAAACATATTATAATGATAAAGCGCTACTAGAGGTAAAGATCATTGATTAATGCGGTAAAATAATCGTTCCGCTTAACAAACGATCAGTTATTAATAATTTCAGTATACTATTCTACGATATTCTGTTGATCTTCCATTTGGTATTGATATTTGTTGGCCCCATTACTGAAATATAGTTACTAATCACCGGAAAGACATGTATATAAATAGTATTCTTTTATAAGGCATAATCTCGTAGCTATAGAATAGGCATTGTTTTCCAATTAGCTGGGTGCTATCTCAAGAGTATTTGAGGATACTGTTGGAAAGTAATCGTGGTTATCTTTGAGTTCATTGTTGCTTTGATATTTCGTATTGTGCTATCAAGGGAAGATAAGAGTGCATATTTATTACAGGATTCTCGAACTGTAACTAAAACAAGTATAACGTTGTAAGACAGACTGAAATCGGGAATATGAAAAACGGAAATTATGATAGTAAGAGTTATGGAAGGTACCTACATTAAAATATTGTGTCGTATTAGGGAGTGCAGAAGACAAGATATAACTTTATCCCATCATATCTTTGATTTCATACATGATGCTACTCATTATAACCATCCTTATAAAGTAATTCATGCTACAAGCAGTTAATATTAACTTATAACAACTGATGGTGTTGAAAAGTGTTTAGTCCAGGAAAAATGGAATTATTGGTATCAATTAGATGTGAACATCTTGTAAAAGATATTTCTTTCCAAAAATATCAAGAACAGCATACAAACATGTAAAAGACCAATATGTCGGTAAAGACTAGGGAGGAAAGTATTAAACTAATTGTTATTATACAAAGATAAACATACCACATTGGTTTACGAACTTCGGTAATTTGTGCAATAGTTTTAGCAGTTCTCATTGTTATTTCAGCTTTGTGTGTGGCTGATTTTAAAACCTGTTGTAGACAATTAAAATAAAGATATTTTTGCATCTGTTTAAATAGGAAATTATAATTGGCTAATGGACAAATTTATGTACAGCCATCATACGAAATAGTTTCTTCTAAATAATTCACCATTAACTTCATAGTTTATTGTCTTTACGTTCAGAAAAATAACTAATGCCTTCGAAACAGATATTGGCATAAATAGACATTAGTCATATGATTAGGATGCATTTCTTTTTCTAGTTGTATTCAAGTCTGAAGTACCTAAGATTTCTTCTGAAAAGCATGTAGTCTAATTTATAAATTTACATTAACGTAAGTGAATATGGATCCTTAAATATATTTGCCTAGAAATTCATGATAAAATCTCTGCCATGTATAAGAACTAGCGATTAAAGTGTCAATGAAAATTTATTTGAATACAATGATAAAATAAAAGTTTTATCAAACTTGACTTTTTAATTTGAGCCATTGTCTAAAACCAATATCGAAACTAGTTGATGTGAACAGATTTGTGTATCAAGTTTTGAATTATACTAAATCTGTGAAGGTTAATAACAGTGCTGAGCTGCTAAAATCGAGGGAGTATTTTGAATTAATAACCAAATGTTGGAGAAGAAAGCACTTAAAGGATAGGAGGAGTATAAACTGACTTACACTTCTATGCAGTGCTCCTTGGATAGTGGGACTCAGTCCCATAAACTAATGCAAGTGGCAAATCTGGTGGTGGAGATCGGAGTAATCCCTCATTTTATTGATAAGCAACAACAATTGCGAAGGACACAAGAAAATAATGTACAATTATCATGGGTAGCGATGGATGTACATAAAAAGAGAGGAAGACGTCACCCACTTTACCTGCTACTTACAAAAACACTCGGTTCACAAAACGACAAAAAGTGTGAAAAATCCAAAAACCTAAAACTTCGTCTACGGAATGTTTGAGGATGTATACAAGAAAGCAATCTTCACTAAATTATCAGCCAGCTAAGTTAACAGTCATCAGATTTTACGTAAACAACAAAGAAGATATAATTACATGTTTTGAAGAAATTAATAGAACAGTTACGATCGAAATATATAGCAAAACGACTGAGTGAACAATCAGCGTGACAGGGTGCAACCCCTGAGTCGTCTGCTGATGACCATAAAATGGAACTATTCTACCTTAAACTTCAACACTTAATAAACGACCTCAAAAAACTAGGACATCCCTACTTATCCTGGTTAAATTCAACTACCGCTTAGGCTCCGGACTCACCACGTCATCTGACGATCATAGAAAAGCACATCAATGAAGATGAAACCTCATCAGATGATGTACACCTAGTCAATTAAATCCTAATCTTCTGAATTCCTCTTGACCGTTTATTCTCATTTTTTAATTGATTCTTCTGGGGTTTACATCTCGAATGATATATTCGATCAATAAACTTTTTAATTACTGCTAACACTTCTACTACCTCTACTACTGTGTGATTTAAATCGACACTAGCGTCTCTGTGCTGATGTGGTATGGCAACTTGACTTGAAGTTCGTACGTACGAAGTTCTACGTTGTAACTGACTGACTGAGAACCGCATAAAGTTACTAGACAAAACAAACGGATACCCGAAAGGAACAAAATCCTAGTTTAAGATGAATAGAGCAGTAAAACAAGGCAGTAAAGAGACTCCGCTGCTCTTTAACCTTGACTTCCAAGATGTTTTAAGATGTAAAATATATCAAGAAATAATCGGACTAAAACTCATAAAGCGATAATGAAATACGGAAATTAGTGAATGTTGAATATGCAGATAACTTCTGTTTGACCACACTAACTGACAAAGATGAAAATGAAGCTCAGCGTTTGTTACAACTCTAATGTAACAAGTCGAACATGAAAATATCACACGATAAGACTAAGGTAATGTCCATAAATGAGAGTGAAAATCACTCAAATCTAAACAAACATATACTAGAAGTCAATTTACTCAACTATCTAGGGTCTACAATCAGAAATTATGGCACGCCAGACGAATGCAAATGTAAAGAAATCCAAAATAACATTATTAAAAATAAGTCCACCACTGCACTGAACCAAGGTCGGAACTCACAGAAATTAAAATGGTGGGTTGCCGAAATCCCCATTTTAACCCACGGACTTGAATCCACAGTTATCAGGAAAAAAGACTGGGCAAAATTTGAAGCAGTCCTTAATATCTCAAGAAGCATAATTCCTGGTCTAAATTACATAAAGTAAGTTACTGTTGACCAACTCCACGGTATAATAGCACTACCTAATTTAGAGACCAAAGTGATGAAAAATAGGCACAACCTATGACATAATGCACACAAAAGGCCAAACAAACTAAGGGTGAGGTCTTTACAAATTAGCACAGAAGACCCAGATCACAACAGCTAACCTCATACTAAGAACTGGTTCAGGCAATATAACCTAGACATTGAACACCTAAACGACAAGCTCCTTCCTAACTGGATCAATAACCCAACTGAGATTAAAATTAAAAAATCTGATGAATTCAAACCATAAATAGTTGGAAAACATCGACTTATCGACAGACGCAGAAATGCAAACTGTAATCGTCTATTTGATGCTATCAAAGAAATTAACTGATCTATGAGAAACGACCATCAATTGAATAAATCAACGAAAACAGATTCAAAAGCCAACAAATGCCCACTAGACGAATGCGACAAAATATACGAAACGATTGGCTGGCTAAAACGGCATCTTCAAACATGCTATCCATAACATCTACAATCTACACCAGCAACTAATACTCATAAACAAAGAACTGAAAAGAATGCAAATGCGATAAACTATTTTTACCATTGCCTGTTCAGTGGGTATACAAAGAAACTACCAATAAAGAAAGGAATAATCAACCACTGCTATATGGTACACTGATGATCAGTCATCACTGGACAGGAAATAAGACCGAAAAACAAAAATCCTGCATAAACAGCTATTGCGCCCCAGTAATTGTGCCGTGCTTTCATATAAACTTTCTTCTCTAGTTTCACCAAGTATGTTTGGTTGAGAGGGACACATTAAAAACAAACAATGGCCAGTGACCTTTACTATGATGGAGAGCACCATCATCCATTCACTAACACAACAATCCAAAATTTGGCACAAATATAAATCGATATTAGTCGCTATATCTGAAAGCATCACCAGGAAAGGATATTCACGAGTTGAAAAAGAAAAACATCCGAATGATAGTATCAACAATAGTGAGAATTAAATAAAGGGAATGAAGTCCACAAGTTTCTTAGAAAAAATAAGGGAATAAAATGAGTTGAAAATTACTCAAAACATAGAAGAGAATAAAAGATGAACATATACGTGCCACCAAGCTCGATTATAGTTTGTACGTCATTTCAAGTTCGAAACCATAGATTACAAGACTATTAACTTCTAAATCTCCACTTGTTTAGACAACTATTAAAGCTGTAAAGACAAGAAAAATCTCTTGACTCGAATCACACATAGTAAGTATGGTATCATATTTTTGGATTTAGTTCACAGTTTACATTGCATAGTCGTTAATGATAACATTGAAGAAAGATACACTGATACCTCACCTTACGTGAAACGCTGATAGTTTTCTCCTCTTTTTTACTAGCAGCCCGTTTTTTATCATAATATCTGGAAAAAAAAGAAATGCGAAAAGTATAGAAACTGTAAAGTAATAACATTTACTACTAAATATATGACAAAATGTAATTTATAAACTAAGTGACTTTATGAACTGATACTATGTATTTATTTGACTACTTCTAGCCTTCGTCTATCATTCTCTTACGTTAGTCATCATTATGAATAGCAAAAGATCACGATTCAACAAGTGGAACTGTTCCACTAAACAACATTGAACAGAGGTGTTTAAAACAAACGTTAAGTGTTTCATTGTTTGTGTACGTTGGAGAAGAAAAACTGCTTGCTCACCAAAAAACTAGTTTACTTACTTTCGTGCATTGGTTAAAGCATTCACGTCGATATCTACAACTACTTCTGTATAATCATCTTTCTTGCTTGATCCAACTAAAGTTTCATCACCATCGACCGAACTTTCAAAAGGATCTCTGTAATAAATAAAACGAGTAAGTTTAAGATTTCGAAAAGTTAGATACAAGCAATGGAAAACAGTGGAAGGTAATAATAGACTACTTTAAACGTATGACAGCCTGACTTGTTTGTAGTTTTAACTCGACAATATGACAGGCAAGTGGATCATCACGTTGTTTTGCTTCTTCAATGATTAATTCTAATTCTTTCCAGTCTATTTGATTTGATAGTGCATGATTGATCATAATAATAATATTATCAACCTGAAGATAGAAAAGCAATACAATAGCGCTCAAAATCAGTACAAAAAATTGAGATCATATACAATTAGTAAGTTTTAATTTTAATTTACCTAGTGTTATGTACATTTTCATGTGGAATACAGAGTACACTTGGGTGGGTGGAAAACAATTCTTACCATTTTATTACGTTGTGAAGTGGATGGACAAAACACTGACATGAAGCTTTAGCTTGTTATACTAAAATCAAACTACATGAGGCAAATATGTTGACTACGGTAGGGAGATTGCTATTAAAAATCTTTTAAAGTTGAAAACCTTCAACTGTCGTTCATAACCGTTTCAGTCCTGTAAAAAAATTCTCGTGATGAAATCACAGGCTTTGAACTTAGTTGAGGAGTCTATTGGGTGCATTGCAATGCTCAGAAGTTTTAAAACGTAGATGAAAAAGTAGTTACTATCTTTTTTATCACAACAAATGATTAACTGATGAGTAAAAAATTTAAAATTAACGAAGTTCAGAAATTCAACAAGCTCTGTAAAACTCCAGTATTTGTTACTTCGCTTATTATTCATACAATAATATTATCTGAACGAGAGATGGGGTTTAAAAGTAAAACAAGAAACTTACAAGCTGACGATTAGCCTCAAGTAAGTACGCCTTTTGCATATCCAACTCCTTTATAAGAAAGGAAAACGGGATACTTGATTAAGATCAATAAAATGACAAAATATGGTGACAACACAGACTTCATGAAATAAAGTTACCATGCAGAAATCGAAGTAGCAGTTGTTAATGAGAATACTAAAATGACCACTCACCATATGTACATGGTGTAATCATGCCAAATAAATACGAGAATCTGAGGTTTATAGTTACGGTTTTAGAAGTTGAGTGGAAATCAATCACCAGAATTGATGACTTCTCACAAGTATATCGGTAGGGTTCTTTAACTGAAGCATAATGTCACTCAATGCTTTTTAATTTTTTGTCTATTAAACTATTAAGTATACGGAGTAAAGTGACTGAACATAATATGACTTCAGGTGATTGATGGAAGAATATCTATCCGTATTCTAAGGAAATGAATGAAATATCAGCCAACAAGGACAGGTTAAGTCAGAGAAACCTTTGAATTTATATGGAACAAATTTAGATAATCTATGCAACTAGAAATAAGAATTCAGATAGATGATTGTCTCTTCATGCCCATTTGTATACCTTTTCTTGAAATTGTTATTTCTGAGCTAGAAGAAAGTCTATTTTAAGAAGTGATTACAAAGACCAATAGACACCTTTTAGCAGCAGATTATATGGGATCTTTGTACCAATCTGCAGTGATGAAAGATAACACTGATGGATTTGTAAACATTAAAATTGTAAATAAATGAAGAAGGGAGAACACATCATTGGTTGAGATTACTTGACAAACCCGTGAAAAACTAGTAGGAACAAAATAATAATAATTCTAAGGGAGGTTTCAAAGGATCCTTTTACGAATTTAAACTACCAACTTTCTACAGAAAACCAATTCATTTTATGACGACTTGAAAAAATCCAACCTAAGGAGTCAAATATGGAAAGAATAACGATAATAAAACTGTAATTAATTAGTTCAATCACATATTTCAACTTACTTGTTCAGTTTTTAGTAACATCAAACGCCGTTCTTGATCCTTCTTAATGTTTTCAACTTTTCTACTAGCCTTTTGTTCCTAAAATTAAAAAAAAAACTAACACTTAAGCAACAGAGATAATTCATTATGACGAATGATAAGTTAATTAATAGAGGGAAACATCAGGATGCTTTTGTGAAGATGTACATTGCCCTTTGAAGAAGTATAAGAAAATATTGTTACATAGAATTTGTTTTATAAACAGAATTCTGAAATTAATCAAGTCCTCTATTCACGTCCTGACAGAAAATAGATTTCATTAGTTGATGATATTCACAATATTTTAACATATTTTCCACAGATAAATTTTTTAATAACTGCCAACTAATTTGACACCTAAGTCCAGGATTTCTCGATGACTATTTCAAATTATCCATAATATAAAGATTTAGTAACTAATGATATATGTTCTGACCATATACATTAATTATAGGTTGTGAATAGTCATTACAGTTGTTTTACCCGTTATATTAGACATTATATTTATTGTTTTCAATACTATATGCATAACTGGGAATGGGAGAAATAATAGTAATATTATGATATATATATATATATATATATATATATATATATATATATATATATAGAGAGAGAGAGAGAGAGAGAGAGAAAAAAAAAGTAAACAAATCCGTGGAAAAATTAGAACTCACATTTCTTGAAATTTGTTCGAGTGTTTTCTGACTTTCAATTTTTGAAAAGTATGCATCCACAGCCTGTGTAGATTTTTAGTAACAGATATAAAATAAAGTCAACAAGTTTTTACTTTCACATACATTTAAATGTTGATATGTATTGAAAATAATAAACGACAAATAAACTAATTAGCCTGTATGTGAATCATCCTCAAATACTCTAATATGGCCATATCAGTATAAAAGAGAAAATCAACAAGATCCATAGAAAACCAAAAACAACAACAGTGTCTTAATCAGGATTAACTAGTTTCGGTTGGTATGCTTCGAAGAGATTGATCGAAATTTAGAAAACTAAGCAATATTCAAGTTCAAAATTGAAGTAATATACTAGAATTCGCTTCTTCTGTATCACCACAACCGGTTTCAGTCGACGCCACGAATTATTCTCCTCGACTACATTGGTGTGGTCGACAATGGGGAGAGTCTGCCTGCCCTCTTGAAATGTTCTCATATGGCCACGCGTACATAGCCACTTCCAGGAAAGTTCTACTCACTCCCTTCTCATATGAGGTATCGAGAGGACGAAAAGCAAATTTCAGGCGCTTTAACCGAGCTAGTGGGTACGCAGGACCTATACAGAAGCGTTGGAAAGTCCTGATTCCAAACCAACGATGCACATGGTCCGCGGTATCCTCAGGGAACGAATGGTGTTCTACTTAACGATAGCAAAGCCTGAGTATATTTCAGGAACAATTAGAAAAACAGTTAGTCAACGATGTAAGTGATTCTCATCCGGAGGCAGCTAGGAACGATATCCAGAAATCTGTGGAAAAAGCAGTGATATCTGCTACTAAGGTAAACCGCAAGGTTAGGGAGAAGCGGTGGATTTCAGTAGCATCTACAGAACTGATGGATGCTCGAAAATCCATCCCGTCTGGCTCTGAGTACGATGAGAAGCGGAGTCAGGTTAGGCACAGGCTGATAAAAAGCCTACGCTATGATCGAGAACAGTGGTGGGTAGCGAAAGCAAAAGAGATGGAAAAGGCAGCGGCGATAGGCAACACTAGACAACTATGCAGACTTATCAAGGAAACCGGTATTACGAATTCGAATGTGAGACTGTCTTGGAAAAAGATGGGCATATTATTTATTCTCAATCCAGGAGATTGTATCGAGCCACACTTCAGTTACCACAACCTCCAGTCAACCTGAATGGCAAACTTATGTGAACCCTGCAACTCTTTATGAAGTTCAAAAGGCTATAGGAAATCTAAAGCGAGGGAGAGCAGCAGACCCTGATATTTTAATCGCTAAGATTTTTAAGGATGGTGGTCCAGTTTCAACAGTCAGATCTTAGCGAGGATCTGGAAACGCTCGTGAAGAGCAACCAGGCGGGTTGTAGACCTGGACGTGGATGCATAGACCGTATATGCACATTTCGTCAGGTCCTAGAACACAGACACATATTTAGGCGGCCCACAATAGCCGTATTTCTCGACCTTAAGGCGGAACTTGACTCCGTCGATCGCGAGGTCTGTAGCAGTATCTGTTATCGATTGGAGTACCAAGTAAGTACATGAACCTTGTACAGGCTCGATGCTTGAAAACTGCTGGTGGAGTGAGATCATATGGCGAACTGCCATAGGAATTGATTACTTCGAGTGTTCTTCAGGGTTGTCCACTTTCTACACACTTATTTGACTTCCTCAGTGAAAGGCTTTTAGAGAAGACACCTACATCGTCTGACTTTTCAGGATTTGACCTTCTACAAGGAGACCCGCTTGTTGACTGAAAATATCTTAATGATATAGTTCTGTTTGGTGAAGAGATTGATAAAATGCTGAGACAATAGCATTTTTGATTATCTTAAACACACACCTAACACATATACTGCACATTTTTGATTATGATCAGATACTTTGTCACAACTATAAAAGAATAAGATAATCCATTGAAGTAAATGGTCCGTATTAAGAATTCTCAGCTCACCTTATTGAAGCTATTAAATGCTAAGTGAGGTTTACCTCGGTATTGTTCAAACATGAATGGTTGGAATTCTTCATAACTGAAATAAACAAAAGGTTTTTTGAAGTCCATTCAAAACAATCTTATTGAATAACCTTGATACCGTCAAGCGAACGCACGAAAATGATCATTAATTAATCCAACTCGGTATCACTTAAAAACTGAGCACAGGTTCATGCAGTAGGCTATTACTTGGAATCACCAATGGAAGTAAGTGTAGGAAGCCGGGTTCTGTAATTTATGTGAAGTGTTTAGTTGAGTTATGATTGAGACTGGCCTCCAAGTCCGACGAAGTGCAGTGAGAAAACCAAGACTAGTGATTATGATCATTCTGCCTTCAGGAATAAGTTAAAATGATATATGAATACGCTATTGTTTATAAGATATATCGTGTACAATTTGACTGAGTAGTATTTAACATTAATTGATTAAATCAATCAATCAATCAATAGCAACGTAGAACTTCGTACGTACGTACGTAGTTCAGTTCATATTGCTATACCACATTAGCACAGATATGCAATTGTCAATTCAAATTCCATAGTAGTAGAGTAAGGTATTAGCAGTAATCGGAGAGATTAGGGTTAGAAGATATTATTCAAGAAGTAGAATCTAGTGAAATAAACTTAAGAAGATAAAGTTTAGGATTTGAGAGAACACAAGGAATGAATGCATCTGCAACATTGAGAACGGTTTTGAGCCATGTCATTCAGTCTCTAACCATCGATTACTATCATCTCGCGGGCCCCAATCAGGTAGTCGACACCTACCAATATGACTCAGTTCACTTATCAGTGACTTGATGGATTTCTGTCATGTTTTGGTCTGGCCGCCCCTAGCTTTCTTCCAACCTATTCCTACACCATAAAATGTAGCTCATCGAGGTAGTCAGTGATTAGGCATATGCAACACATGTCCCAACCACCTCAACTAAGTTTCAATACTTCATCTATTGACCTGTCATCCTTACCTAGTACCCATTTCCTAATAACAGCTTGCTTACTAGGTTGTCCCATGATACACGAGCAATGCCTCGAAGACACCTATGATCGAAATCCAGTAACCTACGGATATCTTCTACTCTGACTGGCCATGTTTCACAGCCATAAAGTAGGGTAGAGCGAACTACTGAGCAGTACACTCGTCCTTTAGTCAGCAAACGGATATCTCGTCTACGCCACAAGCGACGTAGGTTGACAAAAGCCAATTAAGCCTTCTGTATCCGTGCTGACATTAGTTGATCAATAATCTAATATATGGACACGATTTTTACATCATACCAGTGGATATTAATAAAACAAATACTTTTAGCACAGTCATTAGTAGCAGGAGTACCTATTACATCGACCGACTAAGCTCCTGACAAGATTTACGTAAATTGAATGCGACCTTAGAAGCAGTCTCTAAATGCCACTTGAAAAATTTGATCATTTGATGCCGTTTCTACAGGAACTAAAACAGAACTATAAACCCGAGGTTAGGAGTACAGATTGTCAGTTCCCGGAGTGGCTACCAATGTGCGCAACAACATTTCGACAGTAGCAACCTGCATGGGTGGCTAGCGTCGTCATAAGGAGAATCGGCAACATGATTTAGAAAGTGGATTTCCAAGGAAAATATTTGACGAAACATTTGAACCAAATACGACCCAGAGAGATCACACCGATTAAGAAACCTCCTAGGTTCAACTAACCAATGGACTACTTTATCGACAGTTAGTCAGAGGCAATGGTCGGATCTTTAAAAAAATATAATCAAAGAACATTATCTTTCCCGAGTTGGAAAAGTTTGGCCTATTTCCAGGACGGTAATGTAATATGGCTGGATCGAAAAAGTAAAATCAAGTCGGTTTGAAAATTGACTGGTATGATATAACAACTTTGTGTCCACATATTAGGTTATGAATCAATTAATGTTAAATACTACTCAGTCAAATTGTACAAAGCTGGTTGTTAATCTGACTAAAAAGATCTTATAAACAGTAGCGTATTTATATATCATTTTAACTTATTCCTGAAGGCAGAATGATCATAATCACTAGTCTTGGTTTTCTCACTGCACTTCGTCAGACTTGGAGGCCAGTCTCAAGCATAACTCAGTTAATCACTCGGCAGATACATGACTAGCATAGCAATTTAGACATAAGCCCATCATTGATACATGATCTTTTATTTGTTAATTAAGATATTCTGTAAGGCTAGTTACATGAGCTATATTCAAAGAGGGTTACCTTGCACGCTCATGTATCTATATACCGGTAGGCAAGGAGTCTGTTTCCCATATGAAGGGGAGCATAATACGCAGGAGTCCACTTAGCACTATTATGGTGTCAAACATGGGTTGTGAAGTAGAAGAGATACGTTGGATGTAAGTTTTTGATGATAGCTGTCTAGAAATATTGGTCGGAATAACTGAATGAGAAATGCCCAAAGTAGGCATAGCGTATTTAGGATAGACAGAGGATTTCTTAATAAGATTCTGAATCTAAATAGGATAAGGTGGCTGGGGTATGTATGCTCAACCACCAACTATCTGGATGTCCAATGACGGCTGGAGTAAGAGTAAGTTAGAGATAGTATTTCAATTATAAAATGGTAAAAATATTTCAGTATAGTTTACAACCAAAGCTCATGAGATAAGAGCTCTTTGAAAGAATTAAACAATAGCTTTTTGGACATAATGGTAGCACGGAAAAGAATCTGCCTTAGAGGTAAGAGTGATTAAAAGCATAGCCTCAGGATAATGACCCGACAGAAATTAGTTAGTTATGTAGCACTAGAACTATGGTGAGCAACAAAAGATGAAAAAGCTCCTTTAGAACTACTTACCTTTGCAGACCTTCGTCCGCAGATTGATGGGATTTCCCAAATATATAACCCTGTGGAGTTGCTTGACTGTCACATAAGTAGGGTATTAGTAAAATATCCCTTAAGGCCACAGCGAAGTGCTTGATATACAGCTCTAATAAGTCTGTTTTCGCAGATTCCAGCTGGAAGTCTTCTTTATGAGGCTTCATCCGTTTAACTTCATTTTGCGCTAGACGCATACAGTGTTCTATGATGACACTCCCATAAGCTAAATTTAGTGATAAATAAATAGGCATTCACTTACGTAATTCCAAAGATAACGTTTTATTTATCGATGGGTTATTACATGTTTGTACATTGGTAGTCCATGGTCCCTTGGATGATTGGAATAATGGAATGAGGAAGTTTTCAATATCCTTTAGAGATTCTTGATCTTTAAGGTCGCGAAAGCACTCTAAGATCTGCCGACATGATGTTGTATGGTACTTTTCATGGGCTGCAAATCGAATATTCTGATTCTTGTCAGTTCGAGGACGAAGCAAGTGAAGGATAGTAAATGAATCATCAGTAAGAAGCATGTTTCCCTGAAAAGATGGAAAGTATTTCGTGAGAATATTTGGGAGATATATATAAAGGAGGGGGAGTAGGTAAATTGTGCGAAATCACAAAACGTAAGTTATTGAGATATTCAGAATAGGGATAGAATAATAGAAACAAATTTAGATATGCAATGAAATTTCATATACATGTTTTGATCTACGCAATAGATTAATCTTACGGAATACGGTTTCATGATTTGATGAAGCGTATGTTTGAGTGTTAAAATTAGATAAACAAAGCTAATCAATAGATAAAAAATGAGATGATACGATTTGGCTGAGCGACGATCGCTCACACGATCGTGTTATTTAGGCTAGCCTCGAAACGATCCCAATTAAAAGACAATATCAATAACCAGAATGGATTTTCCGGGTGGTTAAATGATATGTGTATATACAAAGCATAGGCAACAAAGAATATTACAACGTACGATCGTTTCCGATAACTTTTCTATCACTCTACAGCTATAAATTGAAAATCATTGAAATCCATTAAGAAATATCCTTCACGATTTGCAGCCAGTAAGTGACAACAGTCTTCATATGTCTTAATAAATGATAGTTCGAGACTTTGAATGGCATGGCATAAAATCGTTTGCAATCGCGCAGGTGCATCTATTCTTTATCTTCTCTCAAATTCTGATCTTCTGGATTCCTCATGACCTTTTTTCTCTTTTTTAAATTTATTTCACAGGGTTATACTTCTCGAATCATATGTTTGATCCCTAATTGTTTTTATTTTCGCATATACTTCTACTAATTCTGCTACTATGGAAATTAAATTGGCGATTCCATCTCAGTGTGCTAATTAGGTATGGCAATTTGGACTACTGTAAGTACGTAGGAAGTTCTACGTTGAAGTTGATTGACTGCATGCGTCTAGAAGTACTCAAGATCCTTTTGTTTACGATCAAATCTTTTCGTCACTTCTGAACCACTAATTTAAATTATTGAAGATGTGAACAACTGACCTACTAGTTGATTATCGATTGGACAGAAAAACTGCTGAAGCATTAAAGACAAACGCTACCTAAACAGGAGGATATTTATTTATAAACTGCTTCATAATAGCTTTTAAAAGAAGTTAAAGTTTTAGATAGATTTATGTGTCACTTTAGTAATTGGAGGGAATCAACAGCTCAAACGCTATGACCCTTAATGTGCAATGTTCGTAGGTGTTAAAGTGTGTTGGAGGAAAGCTATGAACAGTCAAATGACAGTACAGCAACAGTAAGGTTAACAGGTTAAAATTCCATGAATTTATTTTTGTTAGATCTATTGACCCAAAGGAGAATCAAAATATAAATGAATTGAATATTTTTGTGGGTTATAATACTACTTGGGTGCCCAAACTGAAACATGTGGCCTTCTTAGGAGGACACTACTCAGACATCGACCCAGAGGTTCAATCCACAAGGCGGCAACGAGAAGCAACGCCAGGAGATGCATTCCCATGGTAGCCAGGGACCAGCAATAAGTTCATACACCATTCGTCCCCTCAGGATACCGCGGACCATGTGCATCGTTGGTTTGGAATCAGGACTTTCCAACGCTTCTGTATAGGTCCTGCGTACCCACTAGCTCGGTTAAAGCGCCTGAAATTTGCTTTTCGTCCTCTCGATACCTCATATGAGAAGGGAGTGAGTAGAACTTTCCTGGAAGTGGCTATGTACGCGTGGCCATATGAGAACATTTCAAGAGGGCAGGCAGACTCTCCCCATTGTCGACCACACCAATGTAGTCGAGGAGAATAATTCGTGGCGTCGACTGAAACCGGTTGTGGTGATACAGAAGAAGCGAATTCTAGTATATTACTTCAATTTTGAACTTGAATATTGCTTAGTTTTCTAAATTTCGATCAATCTCTTCGAAGCATACCAACCGAAACTAGTTAATCCTGATTAAGACACTGTTGTTGTTTTTGGTTTTCTATGGATCTTGTTGATTTTCTCTTTTATACTGATGTGGCGTCCTAAATTAAGCCGATAGACTGTATCAAACTATACAGAGATGAGTAATGAAATATGTTTAACATGTTTATTGTTTCGAGTCCTGCTAGTCATTAGAACATCCAGTTTAAGCATCAAATACACTTTTATTCTCGCTATACCAATAACGAAATTCGACCCTGTATGATGTAACACTGTTGAATGAATCCATCACACCATACTCTAACGGACTTTACTATACTTCAGACACTGACTTCAACAAAAACTTGAAACATCAATGCTGCGGAAACAGTCAAAAGTAAGTCAGATACAATAAACACAGCTTGATTCACATCTGAAGTATAAAAACCAGTGTTTGGTGACCTCTACAATCCTCATTCGAACTAACCGTAATATCAATAACCAGATGTTGATGTCACATTGTTAATTTTGTGGAAGACTACAATTACATCATACGTACTCGATCGTACAATTCCAGAATCAAATGATAAGCAGATGACTCATAACCAATCTGAATATCAACAACGCGATCGGCTCCTATTTGGTAGATATCAACGATCTTCTTGTTTCTTATATGTTTGCGTAGCTGAAATAAAAGGAGAGTAACATTAGAAAGGTGAGGACTATCAAATTCATCTGATTGGTTTTTCTACTGCAAACGCATGATTTAATTAACTCACCTTCATGGAAAACCCAGAAGGGATTACATTTTTAGGCCAATCAAAGTCGGTTAAGTGTAATCGCGAGCCGGATTCCAGCAGCAAGATCGCCTTATCGTCGGATTTTGTACTGAAACCAAGACATTAGCTCGAAACGACTAATTACCTGGCAAGTTTCAAAAGGTATGTTTTATTATCCACATCGTAAATGTTATTGACTCTATAACCCAATATTCTTTACCGTATGCATTTTTAATGCGAAATAATTTACTGATTTTTTATTTCCGACACAGATACCATTACGTCGAACGTAGTGTACAAAAGCTTCATTTCTGCGTACACGTAACGCAACCATTCGTTTCTGCACACTTTTATTCTGATCTCATGAGACTAGAATCGAGGACATCCAATAACAAAATCTAATATTTTTCACTAACTAGTATAAAGCAGGTGATTTCTTTGCGATCGCTTCTTGTTCTTTCAGTACGATTCCAGGTGTTTGGTAATGTCGAATGGATAGTAGTCCAACTTCTCGATTGCATTAATCCTAGGCAGTTGGCAGTTGATAGCGGATTTTTATGTCACGTGACATTAAGTTTCCAGATACAGTGGCTCATCAGATATCATTCATTAGTTTTCATCTCAACTATGATCACTCACACTCACAATCTATCAGCCACTTTGAAAGGTACAATTGTCTTAGATAAAGCGATTGACCGAACTTCTTCGGTTGCAGAAGATATAAATAAAACATTGTCCCCACTCTGTTCGGATGCTATGAGTTATTCTGCTTGCCCTTCAGCTTATGAAATGTTGCTCGAAAATTTCACAGATTCATTGACGATGTTTTCCGAGGTGTGGAATTTGTGTATGCTTCTGCTGATGTCTGTTCAAAAATGAGAGCAAACGGAGAATCTCATTTCAGGCATCTATATATTCTTTTTCAACGACTTCGAAAAATTGGCATTATTCTTAACATACAGAAATGCCAAACCAAAACCAAATCCCTCAATTTTCTGAGGTATGTCATCGTCACTCAAAGTATTCGACCTCTAGACAATAGAAAGGAGGCCATTCTGGATTCCTCAAAGCCTACCAAAGTCAAGAAAATACGCACATCTTGTTCACTGTCATCCCGAATACAAGGTTCCTCATAAGACACTTGTCATCATATAGTTCCCCAGAACAGTTTCCAAGAAATGGGCCTAATTGGTCTTGCTCAGCAGATATTTTCAGCATCATTGATGTGCATGAGAAAATGCAGGGAGCTTGTTCCAAGTTGACATTCCTGGATACTTACATCAGTGTTGTATTGTTGGAGTCATTGGAAAATGAGTTCTAAATGATGAAGCTCAGATTGTCTGTTCTTACCTGCTATAGCACAGTCATCAACATCGGCGTTCACTAGAGTAAGAACTATGAAAACGTCGACGGTGAATACCTAAATATTTCGAGCAGCGTTTTCCAAGCCAATAGATGCAGTGAAATATTCTTGGGGTCCAAGAGGATTGATGCAAGCCAGTTAAGGGATGATGTCCGCAGCCAAGGGTATTTGGATATGCTATTCGCCCAGAGTATTTTTGAAAAAGCAGGAATTCGTAAATATATTGTCTACTCCAACAACCTTGGTACTAGTACTCAAGAAGGCCCACAAATGCAATGTGATTAGTTATTACTGTTTCTGATCGATCTCAAGCTACTGATACTTATTGGACTGGTAAGTTTTACCGAGGGTTCATACCGAATAGGGCATCACTCGAAAAACCCTTGTCATCGCGTAATTTCCTAGAACAGTTTCCAAGGGATTAACCCAATTTGGCTTGCTCAGTCTGAAAAAGAATACAATGATCTTCGACACGGGTTATCATCTACATAGCTAAAATTACGGATCAAACTCATGGAATCCGGTAAGGAGACTTTACTTTTTACAAATCTACGGTCAACGGTCGTTCAGTTGTGTAGGGACATTTTCGATGCAATGTTCGCAACATACTGCACGAAATTTCTCACCCTGGTATCAAGCAACCATCAAGCTGATAACATAACGATCGCCAAACACATAACTGAGACAGGGCATAAGATTGACATCACGACAGCCTTCAAAACATTGTATAGAAATGTTGAAGGACGAATTTTGAGGTTTATGGAGGCCTTGGCTATTAGAAAATTAAAACCCCCCTTATGTGTGCAGAAACAATTTGTCATAACCTTGAATTTACCTTGGTAATCTTTAAGCCTAGGGTAATGTGACAATTTTCCTACCCCTTCTTACTCTTTTCATGTTGCGTTAATTTTCTCTCTCTTTTATTTACAATTATCACCCAATGTCTATTTGAACTTTTATTTAATTGACCTTTTATTAATCTTCATATAAAATGCCTTGACAAATAGATATGTATGCCCAGATTGTTCGAAATGTATAGCGCAAATACATCACATTTTTCAGATCAAATACGTCTTCTCACCACTCCAACTATGTTCATCCTGACTCGGTAGGGTGGCTACCGGATTCAGGTGGATACTCTTACTTCCTAATGTGTGTGGATCGTTTCACACGATGGAAGACGAGCCTGTCACGGATTTTACGGCCGGAACAGTGGTCCACCCCATGGTTGAACAGTGGGTATCAAGCTTCGTCGCCCCTCAGCTATTACTACAGACCGTGGAGATCAGTTCGAATCTCAACTTCTCGCCGACGTACTACACCATCATGAGTCACGTGATTCCGACAGACCGCCTACCATCTGCAAGTTAACAGTCTGGTAGGACAGTTCCACCGACTGTCGAAAGCCTTGCTATCAGCTTTGCTCGCTTACACAATCATGTGCGAAATTCCACACGCACATATATTCCCATTTTTATGTAGGAGAAAATATGAAAATAAAGGATGACATTGAGAGGAAGATGTCTAATGCTTCAGAGGATCAAATATAATGGTAAAACTAAATGGAATATTGATAACGATAATTTGAGTGTACTCAGGTGATTAGATGGAAATTTATGTGTTAAGGTATAGAGTTTGACTTGATATAAGTACAAGAGGTTAGTCAGGAATAGTTCAAAATGAGTCAGTGTAAGTCACAATGAAGGACCAAACACAGACCATCGAATACCAATTCATAAGCGTCCTACTGACTCGGCGAGGATAAAATGCCTATGAAATATCAATTAACTTCGATAAGTGTTGGACACGATTGGTCTTTAGTTACAAGCTGTGGAGCAATGACAGTAAAATATCCATTATGTGTCGGTCGATCAAACATCATCATACCAATGAATATAAAGTTTAGTAGGTTTTGAATATTCTCGCGAAAGACATTAAACAAATTGAAATGGACCAGTAGGAAGGGTAATAACAATAACAATTCACGCTTTTTCCTTTTTGACAGTCAATTTTTTCAGATGATTCACCTTGTTTGTGCGAAGCATTGGTTATCGCGCTGGTGTTTGAAAGGATACACAAACCGCTTACGGAGATAAAATCACCGATAAGACTCTTGAACTGGGTTATAGTTTTGGAGCAACGGAGGCTATTTGGAAGATTGTTGCACAAATTTGACTAACGAATGACAATGAAATTCTATCGTAGGTTTGTTCAACCTCACGGAACCAATAGAATATTCTGCTCATTGCGCAGCTTGGTGGGGAGATATGATATAGTAAGGATGAGTGGATGCAAAAGAATGAGGAATAACTTTCAGAAGGCGATAAGTAAAGACAAGGTTTAACGTTATACTCTTAGTGAAATGCGGTGATGTCCTGAGGAAAACTTTTCTGATGAAATTAGGCGAAGACTATGTGAACGACTAGCGAGACCTTCATTTCCCCAAATCAACTTAAGCTTACTGTAAGGTTTTAGAATGGTTTCTGAATTCGGGTAAACAGTTCTAGAAGCTCAGATACGGGTTTTTCCCGGACATCCCAATTAGAAAGCAATTTATCTGGGTAAGAAACGGTTCTGTTATTAATTAAAGGTACAGACATTCACCTAAACAGTATTACACTGTTCTCCCTCCAAATAAAAGTAATGTGTTTCCAATCCTGGAAGAACGCTTCCGTTTAGGTCCACATTTGCACCTTCCCAGTCCAGATGTACCTTTCAACTCCAGGGTATCAAATCCGATATGGCGCACGCTATAATTCAGTATCAATTTAAACAACGTATTACAGTTCAGTAGAAAACATAGAAACTCCCATAAAGGTACAAAATTAGAAACTATAACTAAATACAGATATTAACATCACAAAATGGGATTAAATATAGTACCAAAATGTAGCGCAGAAAGAGTCAGTATGAACATTTTACAAAAGTGTAGATGGAGGGATTTTCCCAAAACAAAGCCTTCCAAACGGATCCTACAGTTACCCTCGTACATGAGCAAGTTTACAAATGCTTCCACATTAGTTGGGTCAATTTAAACGATTTTCATTCAGTTGATGTCTTTCTCTAATATGCATACGTCAATATCATGATCCATAACAGCTAATATGAGACTGAATGTCACACTGCAAAAGTAGCGTGAATAAAGAAGCAATCACACTTTTTTGTAGAACCGGATTGAAGCAGCTATGCGTTGGAGTGCATGATAGTACTGTAGTGGAACGCTTCTACGAAGAAAATACGATTTGTGAAAAATAAACTCCATCGTACTCGTTTTGTTTAACTGTACCAAAAACACTTCTTGCGCGCAACGTTCTCTTCGCGTTGCGGCCATTTTTCTTCATTTGCTGCTCCCCATGTAATGCCTAATTTCTCCTTCAATAAAATATTGAAACATGGATTTATTTTGATATACGTGACGGGATAGTTTGGAACATTTATTGGTGATCATAGACAATCTGGTATCTCTCACCATTAAACACCAATAGATTCAGTAAACATCCCTATAACCGCAAGCATTTATAGTATAATCTATAGTTTTTTACTCGTATAAAGACAATACTCAACTTGTAGCCTCACTCAGATTTTGAGCTTCTCTATGAATAGAAATCTACGTGTAATGCTAAATTAATACATGTTTCGTATCGGAATTTCAGTGATTGAGGATAAGCTGCCATTCGGCTGAGAAATTTTCATAATATCCGAAAATGGTTTAAACTGAAGTAACAGGCTACTAATATCAGAGATGACATGAATATTCATGGCTTGACAAATTTTATTGATACTATCTTTTAAATCGAGAATATCGCACACGGTCAAACTAGAAGACAGGAATGAAGATGTTTGAAAATACGTTCGGAGTAATGTCGATATGTATGTGATGTAAGTAGATCAGTTGTTGTGAGGGAGTTCATAGCACGGCATACTCTTTGATGAGCCTCTGAAGATTTATGATCAGGTGCTCTCAAAATAGGGAGGCAAACAACAGGTTTAAGGTCAATAACAAGCAATCATATCTAGGTCAATAGAACAAGCTGTGAATCAAACGTTGAGGAATTCGATCACTTCACTTGTGCATGAAGTGTGTGCTGACGATGTTGTCCAGAAGAAACCAAAACACCAAGCTCAGAGGACAAAACTTCTAACACAACCATCCACATCAGCTACAAATTTTCACCACCATCTCAATATAAACGTCTGCTTACGAACATAGCTCATTGGATCATAGTCTACACCTACCAACATGACTCAGTTCAGTTGTCAGAAACTTCACTGATTTGTGTCATGTTTTGGTTTAACCACCCCTAGATTTCTTCAAGCTTACCCCTATACCACAAAACAGAGCTTGTCGAGGCGGTCGTGCATACGCAACACATGCCCCGACCACAACTGATTTTTCATCCTTACTTAGTACTCGTTTCCTAAGAAAAGTATTGCCCCACGATATACGAACAATGCATCTCAGACACCTATAATTGAATGCTAATAGCCTACTACTATCCTCTACTCTTACTGGCCATGTTTCACAGCCATAATATAGGACGGAGTGAACTGTTGCATAGTTAACCCGTCCTTCGGTTAGCAGACGGAGATATCGTCTACGCCATAAGCGACTTTCCTCTGAGATACAGTTTAGAAAAGCTAGTTCTGTCCTAGGACTCAATGTTATACTTACACTAACGATGCTATGGGAAGTAGCAGCAACAGGGCTTCCACACACACATAGCGAAATCCGAGTGGATTCTCTAGCTTGGACAAGGTGAAATCAAATTAATGACTCTACTCGGATTATGTACGCGTTTCGAAGTTGCAGCATACATGGATGGCGCAGAACTCCGAAGTCCTAGCTAAAGAAGTTTGTTGACTTAGTCGGCACAAGGTCTGCACATTAAAAGATCCATGTAGTCTAGAGCGGTGTTTCAGGAGACCAGGAATAACTTTTCGCGTTAATATCAGCGGAGTGAAGTGACAGTAATCAAAGAGTTGATCGTGGAGATAAGAAAGTTATTAGGAAGTGTAGGAAGGATTTGATTGAGACCAATATGGTCTCGTGCACTGTTACGGGTACGAGGCTAGATGTTACTTCCCGACTGCCTACACCGTGGAAAGTTGCTTACTGAAGAACCTGGAAAGTGAAGTGGACTAGTGTTGGTCTCAGAGACCTAGGAGTATGACCAAAGGGCCCGTGGTACATCTACTTGAGGCAGGTCACGCACGACCTTGTAATGAGAGGTTTTTAAAGAGTAGGCTCCGCTCTAGTTTACATAGCCTTACCGCCGGAGACGGGAATCCGTGAGTCGTGTGGTGTGACGTTTTTAGGGTCGACCTTTTCTAACCCCTTCCTTCCATTGTGAGAAGTCAGCATCGCTGCAGCTTCTGGTCGTCCGAGGGAGATATCTTACTGCTGTCACCGCCCCTAGTTAGCAGTACGATGTCGCCCTTTTGACCTTGTTGTTTGTAGTCTAACTATCCTCCAATCGATCTGCCCGGTGTGGTAGAACCGGCAGGAACATACGTTCCAGTCAATATAGCTCGGTTGAGTCATCACAATAGACAAGCCCGACCTATACATACGGGTGATGAGATCAACGAAAATGACCAAATAAAGCTACATCTTATAATTATGTCAAGAGTACTAGAGGAAATAAATACTTTTACTTCCTTAATGTACCTGACTTTTAACCAAAGATGTAAATCACATGATAAGAAATAAACAACACGGGGATGAAAAAGTTTTATTCTGGGATCAAAGACCGTTTACAATAAATGAAGTTCAGTCAGAACATTAGCGTATTACGGACGAAAGTCTTTAGCAATCTAACTAAAAAAAGTCCAGAAAGACATTCAAAATATTAAAAATTTCACCTCAACAATACTGATGACGTTTTTAAATGATTCTATGACAACATAGACTCGAAAGTAAACCGTACCAAATGTTTCAGCTTAAATTTAACAAAAGAAAATCAATGTATTTACATGATTTCATGTTGACAGCTAAGATAAGGCAAACAGGAGAAATTAAACATCACTAACGAATTACAAAAACTAAATATAAAACAAACGAACGACGAAGTAAATTTTATGTACACAAATATACGGAGGGAAAAATTATCATGATTCACCCAAAATGGTGTCACTGAGTTTAAAAAGATCGATTTTCGGGCGAAAATAGGACTTAGGACGTTTAGGAACTCCTGCCTTTGGGGTAACTACAGGGTTACTTTCGGGAGTTTTAGAAGATTGAGGCGAGTTTATATCATCTGCAAGGTTAGTTTCTTTGGATGCAGCAAGCTCTGCTTTCTTGAGTGAAATCATTTTTTGTAAAGATGGAGTACTGCGCGTGGAACGCCTAAAATCATACCGGTGATTAGTATTATTTTTAAGCTGTTGTCCACTATCAGTATGCTGAATCGACTGGTTCCTATGGCGACTAGCATCGGGATTTTCAAATTGTGATAAGACATGGTCGATTGTTTCTGAAAGATGGCTTTCAAAATCTGGATCTCTACGAAGTAAGCTTTTTCTTTTTGCTTTCGGTTTACTTACTACTTCAAAATTTTGATCACATGATTGTTCATTGATTTCATTTGAATCTTGATCACATTTAGCTGTTTAATTTTTGAAAGAAAAAATTGAAAGAATAAAAGAATAAACAAACTAAGTTATATAAGCATGACGTAACATGTGGTTGAATTGTTTATTTTACACGGTTACGGTTGAAAAAGACTGTCCAAAACATAAGTTAAGAGGCTGAAGCAAGTGTGAATCATGTACACTGAGTAAGTAAAAATATCGCCTTTACATACAAATATTCAAATGTTTAGTGTTTAAACAACTGGTGAAGAGTTAATCTTTAGTGCTTTCAAAAAATATGGCACAATAAAATATTCGCTTTACATAAATTAAGTGAAAAAAAAATAATAAAAGTGGAATTCATTTTGGTTATTGTTTTACGGAATTAGTATAGTCCACTGACGATTGATGTTTTAGATAGGATGACATAGACTGGAAGTAAATATTAGTTGAATAAATATTAAATAATCGGCGCTAAGACGTACTGTATTCTATTCACTGAGAGTGACAAAAACAGTTTGAATTAAAACTAGATAACTGAATATCGGTTCCTACACTTGACTTCGAAATACAACTTTTATGTGCAGGCTGTTGGCCACTGCAGAGTTAGTGAGGTGAGTCTTAAAATAAAACTCGACGACTACAACTTGAGTGCTTTAATTCCTAGAAGATTGCTCGCAAATTGATAGCTTACTTGTTTGAAGTATGTTCAAGTGCTAATGAAAGTCTTGAGAAACATAAACAGATTTAAGGAAGCTAAGTTATACACCATCGTAAGGATAAAAGATTCAGGTGTATTGCAACGGACGTCCACGATACAAAAGAGATAAGGACTGATGAGACAAATAAGTCGTACGCTGTAAGAAGCATAATAGGCTGGACGCTATAAGGGCCTATTAGTGCTCACTCTACGGATATGCAAATACCTTGACTACAGTTTTCTAAAACTGAGAGAACGGTAAAGAATGCTTATATCGGAAATGATACTGATGCGGATTTATTTACCGACGTTAGGCAAACGGGTTGCGTAAAGAAAACGCAGAGTGATAAAAAAGACTTACTTAAAGTTAAATGATACTCTATCGTTGACCAGGAGGAAATTAACAGAGGTTCACGCAGCAGAAAACGTACGAATATAGTCAAATCTACTACTGCCGATTAGTCGAAAGATCCATGGTTTGTAATATCTCTACGATAGCTGGATAACTGTAATACAAGTCAGCGGCCAAGGACTATAGTCAATCAGGTAGACTACGGACCCAGCACGACCATGTGGCAGAAGACTGTGAATGAAATGATTATCTTGAGAATAGTCCGACAGTGGTGTTTGTTCCAGGGGGAGTATTGACTCCAATCAATAAGAGTGGATCAACCAATAAAATTTGAGTTAAACGCCTAACACTTAAAACTCATTCGAACCTAGCCTGGTTATTACAATGACTCTTTTTACGGAACTACCAATGACGAGATTATACCAGTTATATAAACATGACTAGACCTTGGTTATGGATTCATTCTGTACTGTTCAGTATCTTTAGGTTTATTGTTCTCTTTGTAATTGACTACTATTTTCTAAGTTTGTACAAATTGTATCAATTTACATTTTAGAAACAGATTATAATTTTTGGCTATATACATTATTGCCTTTTTTGACTATAGTCCTGCTAATACTCTGTTTTAGACAGTATAGGGACTTAAGTGGCCCAGAATCTGACTCTAATTTGGAAGAACATTTGAATGTCATGAAATAAATTTTTCATCTAATTTCCATATTCTAAAGCGAACTCCGTTTGTGCGATGGCGGTAATAAGAAGTCAAATACAGATTCGGTGGGATGAGGTTATTTCATGTAATCGTTCACGCAGACAGTCATGAAGATGAAAAGTGGGGAAGCGAAGCAAAGTGGAAGAGGTGAGTGGGCAAACTTGATGTGATGAGACATGACTAAGTATTTATAATCAGACAAAAATAAGCTAGACATATGATAAGCGAAGTAAGCAATGCATACACACATGCCTAAATAAAAACAACCAAATTATAAGGTCAAAAGACAAATGTCAGTCAGTCAGATGCAACGCAGAACTTCGTACGTAAGTACATTAGTTCATGTTGCCAATAGTAGTAGAGGTAGTAAAGGTATTAGAAGTAATCAGAGAGGTTAGGATTAGGAGATATTATTCAAGAAGTATGATTCAGTGAGAAAAGTTTAGAAAGTCAAAAGTAGAGGGGTTGAAGAATCCAGAAGATTAGGATTTGAGAGAACACAGAATAAATGCACCGGCGCCACTGCGAACGATTTTGAGCCATGTCATTCAAGGTCTCTAACCACCGATTATTATCAATTCGCGGACACCAACCAGGTAGTCGACAACTACCGACATGGCTAAGTCCACTTGTCAATGACTTCATGGATTTCTGCCATGTTTTGGTTTGGCCGCCCCTAACTTTCTTCCAACCTATTCCTGCACCGTAAAATGTAGCTCATCGAGGCATATGCAACACATGTCCCAACCACATCAACTAAGTTTCAATATTTCATCTATTGATCTGCCATTCTTACCTAGCACCCGTTTCCTAATAACAGCGTTGCTCACAAAAGACAAATAAATAATGACTCAAAATGAATAGGTTAATTATCTAGCTCAGAGAACGAAACTCCACCACAATCATTCACCTGAGCTACAAGTTTTTTCATCTCATAGGTTAATCATTTTTTCCAAAGGCTGGGACAAGTCATGTAAGCTCGACCTATTAGTACATACTAAAGGAATTATTTAAGAAATCCATCTATAAGCAAATTAAATCCCATAATATATAGGTTTAGTCTCGTTTGCAATAAATTCTACATTATAGTAGGACAGTAAAGTATCAATTCTTGAACTTGTTTTTTTCTTTTTTATAATCTGACTTGTTTATTTCATACATCATTCTATACGTAAGGCAAATAAATAGAAATTAATAACTTGTACTACAGATAGTTTTAAATTTAAAATGTGATTCTTGAACTCAGATTTCGAACTCTGTGTTTGTATTTTATAAAAATTGTTTAGTTCTTCACAGTACATCATAAATTTGTTCTGATTTTCTCGAAAACTGAGCTTTTTATGTGCGTGTACATGTGTGTAAAGTTGTTTAGCCATCGTAATATAAAAGAACGGACAACAATATTTTGTACATTTTTATGTAAAGGACAAAACAACTAGGTGGTTTTATTTATCCCAAGTTTCTAGTTCTCTTGTATACAAACCAAAATAAGATAAAATTTTAAGTCAATATTCTATCGTTTTGAAGTTCATCTGATTTTTCAAAACAGACAAAATTATTAATCTCCATCACTTTATTTTTATTAATGATGCTCTGTCCGTCAGTTACTTTCACATGTTTAAGATGAGTATATTGTCAGGATTTCAAACTTTATCAACATATACATTTTTGTATTCGCTTGCATGGCCTGCAAACATTTTACAGACTTTAAAATTAGATTGTCTAAAAACGTTTTAGTGATAATGTAATAATATTTTTCATAATTATAAAAAAAATCTCGTAGTACATCTTTCATAGGGGTACATTTAACAAACAGTAAGAAATCCAGTTTTACAGACAATACTAAATCAGTAACTCAGTGTTGAATCCAGAATCACTAAAGGTATCTAAACACTATTCAAAACAGACTACTCAATGTATCAGTCAGTCAGTCAGTTGCAACGTAGAACTTCGTACGTGTGTACATAAGTTCATGTTGCCATACCACATTATTAGCACAGAGACGCAAATGTCAAATCAAATCCCATAGTGATAAAGATGGTAGAGGTATTAATGTTATAATAAAGAAGACTAGGGTTTAAGATATTATTCAAAAAATATAATTCAGTGAGATAAGGTTAGAAAGACAAACGTAGAGGTGCTGGCTAATCCAGAAGATTAGGATTTGAGAGAGCTCAAAGAGTGGATGCACCTGCGCCATTGCAAACGATTTTGAGCCATGTCATTCAAGGTCTCTAACCATTGATGACTTTCGTCTCGCGGACCCCAACCAGGTAGTCTACATCTACCAACATGACTCAGTCCACTTGTCAGTGACTTCATGGATTTCTGCCATGTTTTGGTCTGGCCGCCTCTAGCTTTCTTCCAACCTACTCCTACACCACAAAACATAGCTCGTCGAGGCAGTCGGTGGTTAGCCATACGTAACACATGTCCCAACCACCTCAACTGATGAAGTTTCACCACTTCATCTATTGATCTGCCATCCTTACCTAGTACTCGTTTCCTAACGACAGCATTGCTTACTCGGCTGTTCCACGATATACGAGCAATGCTTCTTAAACATCTATGATCGAATACTAGTAACCTACAAACATCTTCTACTCTTAACGGCCATGTTTCACAGCCATATAAGAGAACGGAACGAACTGCTGCGCAGTACACCCGCTCTTTGGTTAGCGAACGGATATCTCGCCTACGCCATAAGTGACGCAGGTTGGCGAAAGCCAATCGAGCTTTCTGTATCCCAGCTGAGATTTCGTCAGTCACCAGACCGTCAGCACTGATGAGACTCCCCAGATAAGTGAAGTGATCAACACGCTCGACTACTTCACTCCCTATCACTAGTTCAGGTGCCGATGAAACCCAGTCTTGAAGCAACATTTTGCATTTCGAGGGGGAAAACCGCATCCCGAACATGCTCGCATTGTTGCTTATGGTAGTCAGAAGACTCTGCATTTTGTCAGCGTCTTCACCGAATAGAACTATGTCATCGGCATATTCTAGATCAGTAAGCGACTTTCCTGGTAGAAGGTCAACCCCTGAAAAATCTGACGAGCTTAATGTTAACTCTAAGAGGATGTCTACGACAAAGTTGAACAAGAATGGAGAGAGTGGACAGCCCTGACGGACACCACTTGATGTAGAGAATTCAGATGACAGTTCGCCATATGCTCTCACCCGACCAGTGGTGTTCGAGTAGAGTGCTTGTATAAGGTTAATGTACTTCTTTGGTACACCTTTCAATGACAGACACTGCCACAGAACCTCA